TGGAGACCCAAACATCATTGCACACCTCCTGGCCTCGATATTCATAATCGAAGACACAAGTGCGACCATCACCCGCATGAGAAACATCAACAGGCCGATGTGCACGTCTCATTCATGAATGGAAAATGCGTGAAGGCCATACAAACCAAGCTATGGACCGTATAGTAAACCACGGCAGTCTGCACTCCTTCAGTGGGGCAATACCAAAACTACACAAACACTCTCTCCTGAAGCACTCGAGTGGCTATTCGACAGAGGCATTTAGCTCCTGAACATATTTCAACATGCAAGAATAGAACTGTGAGAAGAGACTCATGCCCCCCCCCCCCCCGTCATAGGAATGCGGAATTTCCACCACTGACTCAGGACAACCAGTAAATATGAGCGCCACAGAACACTCGTTTGAACGAGGACACACGTTGGCATTTTGACTCTTTAATTGCGCATTTGGCTTAAGCCATGACCTATGTCACACAATGACCTTTGTCACCTATCACAGCCATCAATGTGAGCTGGTGGTTGTGAAAATCCAGACTGTCAGCTCAGGGAGAGAACTGGCTCAGTGCTGAGCATGCTGACTGCTGAGTTATTCAGCCATCTAATTTGCCCGAAACAAAACCGATAATTCGAGTCACGCGCTTGGTCTTACTTTCTGCGTGTCACTTGGCTAAATTAGCATGCACATGTCTTCATTTTCCTGGCTACGAAGTGGAAACAATGACACAAGGCCTGCTCACATGATGAAGATAATGTCATCAGGGCACAACTTTGCCCTGAGCCAGATAACCGAGTGAAGTGAGTTTATTTTTAAAGAGGGTAAGGGCTGCTGTACGAATAACCTATATGCAGCATAGCAATTCATTATTGAAGCCATCTATGTACAGCTTTGATTGTTCTCCCCATCAATGTGTAGATTTTCTCGGGGTGTGCTGGTTTCCGCTGATATGCCAAACACACACTGGACACCTTGGTCAACGAGATGCTACATCTCAAGGGGTTAGCCAGGTCAAATATTTTATATAAAAAATAACAATATCAAAGCATCCCACTGTAGATTTATTCTGAAGAAAATTCGAGAGACCCAATGATGCTTTTCCTGGGGAAATAAGCACACACATCATGACTTAAAGCTTTCGTGACTGCAGGAATTCATACGTTTTGGGTCATTCGGTAAAGTCACGTAGATAGAATAAAATAATAAAATAATAAAAAATCACGACGTTTCGATCGCAACACAAACACATATATGTCTTCCAGCCTGCTGTATTTTCTCACCTGAAGACGATTGCTTGTATTGAAACGTCGTGATTTTATTATTATTTTATTTTTCCATCTACATCATTTTACCGAAAGACCCAAAGAGTAAGCACACATCATGTATTAGTATTCAGCATCATCATGTTTTTTTTCTAGTCAAGCTACTGACATTTATTTTAGAGAGAGAATTTAAACTCCAGAATAATAAGCTGCTTGAAACAGCTTCCCAAAGCAATGATTAAACCTGTAAAACAGTCTCGGCTGGCCTTTCCCCCGATGTCCCATTCAATGAATGCATCTTATAAGCCCTATAGTGATACCTCAAGAAGCACATTCCAGAATGGGAAAAGTCAACTGTCATGGAAAATAAGTAAAGTATAATGCAGGAGTTAATGAAGAAAATTGTACGTCTCCAAAAATTGACTTTAAAATTCATTAAGGGGGTTCACGTAAGATTTTGTTTTTAAAAAAACATCCAAAGCTGTGATAAATACATACAAACAAGTTTAATTTGATTGTAAATTATACAAAAGGCTCAACTTTTCACGACGTTACTTTTCGGCATGCTGCGAGGCTAGCTTGGAGTCGGGATTATCGGCAAAACTTTATTTTATTTTACCAGGCAAGGCCCCGCTGAGCTGTACAGATCTTTTGCAGGAGCGACCTGGCCACACATGATAGCTCGACGAAGAGGCTTCTCATGGACACATTTTGAGCAGCCGAATGCACTCACAGCATGTTTCTAAATATGGAGGGAAAACCCGGAGGCCCCCAAATAAAAAGCTACGCGACCACGGAGAGAGTAGACACGCAAACTCCAAATATACAGCAGCAGGCGTCAAGGTCCTGATCGAACCCCCGACCTCCTGCATACAAGGCTAGGGAGTTAAGATCTCCTAGCCACCACGGCACCCCAATAGAGTCAATGTATGCCTATAACCATACTAATCCTCTGTTTAACGCACCCTACATTCAGGTTTTTTTAGATATATGTATAAATGTATATTTGCATGGACACAGTATCGTATGAACAACATAAGGGCGAGGTGGATCGTGGTGTGCCAAAGTAATTGCCAGAACAGAGTTCCGGACTGTTCCTGCTGAAATTAAGTGCTGATTTATATCTCCCGAGTTCTGCAAATAAGGTGAATGTCCCTTCGTCAGCAGAGCATCACATCACGTCAGGGAACAGCCGTAGAATGTGACACCACAGAATTACTCGTGGAGTCACTTCAATAGGCGCCTCTCACCCAAAGCTAGACAGTAATCCTTTATGCTCGGTCAAGTTCGCACACACACGCCAATCATCAAAATGTAAGAAAAAAAAGACAAAGCCCAGCAATTGCTCACTCACGCCACTGCTGGCAAGAAAGGCCTTCACTCGAGGGAGCTATGTAGGGCCCATCTCGTGAGTAGTTTGGCCCGCTCTTCCACTGTGGCCAGACGTCTTTGCCCCACTAGTAAAACAATATATGGGGTGGTTTGTTCGTGGCATTTGTCCACTGAGTCACTCGGCCAACTCATATAGCGAATAAAAAAACAAATAGGTTGTGTACTTTTCTCGTGACGTGCCAAAAACATTCAATCAAAGGTTACAGACCACAGACGTAATAAGATGTCATGCGTGCTCCATCAAACACCTGAAAATGCAGACGGGATGCCAAGTTTAAGAATGCTCTTCCTTGCTATACACGCCCGTTAATTGTTAAGCATTAAATGTCACGTTTAGAATGCGTAGCAGGCGAGGAATATGAAACTTGCCTTCGAAAAGTTTGCTCTACTAAAGGTAGAGTACAATCAGAATCTTTTATTAGAACAACATGCATCACTGGCCGGTGTGATTTCAGTCTTTACCGAGTGTTGGTTGGCACGATGTTTCACACCACGTGCTGCGAGCTTCCTCAGAACCTGAATTCAGCAGTTCGCTTTCTTTCTAGATTATACATCGGGAAAACGCGAGCTGCCTGATCCAGTTCCTGAAGAAACTCCCAGCCCGTGGAGCGAAACGTCGGACATCGTGCCGAACAAGACGCGGTACAATCCGAAAACACATCAGAGACCCATACAGCACAACCGTGAAAGCCTAAGCAGTTGCAAAATGCACTTTAAAGTCTTGCAAGTTAAAGTTGTAGTCATTGCTGTGTAGTAAATTTGATTCCGTCAATAATAGACTGGTTCCCAAAATAGGAACGTGGAATTTTCACCATTGATTCAGGGCCAACTAATGGAGGTGACGTCCGCCACACAATCATTAGCCGGAAAGAGAGGAAGACCGAACAGAGAATCAATGGCTTGACGACCACATCCGATTGGTGCCGGCAAGATCTGCGCACTACTTGAGCATGTTGGCACATGATAGAGGAAAGTGGCAACAAATGACAAAATGTGCAGTGAACACCTACGGGGAATCTGCCCATGGATGATGATGATGATGTACACTTTGACTTTTGCCGTAATACGGTATATGGTATCAAATAATGGCCATTATATTTGTTGTAGCCCATTGAAATAGCAATGCTCGCTAATATTATCTTAATGTTTAGTAAATATATATAGATGGAGTGGCAGCCTCGGAAAGGAACGCATCCGAGGATATGACCACCGAGGAGATGGAACTATGGAATTAGATCACGCGCAGGTGCTGGGTAGATATTACATTGTGGGATTGTGAGAGATGGAGGCCTTCATCCAGCAGTGGCTTAACCATGGCTTCTGATGATGTTACTGGTGAATGTATTATTATAATACCATGGCCGATACCAATCATTATAGGTCATGGAAATAATGATTATTGATTGCCATTACGTATAATTATGGAGCTCATTGAAGAATCATGGTGAAGCCTTGTACAGCAAGGGCACGCATTAAAGACGTAACCTCACGCTTGGCTTGGTTGGAGAGCGACACCCAGCGGTTTAACTCGCCTCTCGATCACGCCAACACACGGAGCCTCATTGCTCCCCACGGTGCTACGAACACAAAATACGTTTACAATCCACGGCCGAGGCTAGCTAGCATCAGTGGGGAGTGAAATCTTACCTGATCCTGAGCACTCCCATTATGGTTGTACAAACTCACACTTAAGAAAGTGAAGTATGGTCAAACAACGCCCATGAAATGACTGAGCATTAGGATGCCTTCATTCAGCCATGGATTAACAGCAAAGTCCTGTAAATTATTACTGTGAAATCAACACAGAATTGGAGGGTAAGAGCAAATAAAAGCAACACTCTCTTCTTCTGTGTGTTAGTGTGGGTTCAGCGGACGTAATGTCGCATTGTCATTTGGGAATAAAAGCTCAGACACAGACTTGATTTTATCTGGCAAGGCCCATTGAGCTCAGCAGAAATTTTACAAGCCCGACCAGCCCAACACTGTCAACAATGGTAACAGTTACAGGACATTGCAGGGTGGGAATGGGCAAAAAAGGCCGACAAAGTGACAACCTCTGATACATTCCCGTGGCAATCTTGACCGAATGAATGCCGACTGGGACACATTTTAGAGGCGATGTATTACCGGTCATGATACCTGGATTTACCATTTATCATGGACTGCCATTTGCACAGTCCGTGCAGTGGAAACATTCAAGTTCTTCAACACCCAAGACATTGACGTCAGAGCACTCGATTTTCAAGGTCATGTACACCAACGGCTCTCATTCCTGAGCCGGCTCCCACGTCTTGCTTTCTCTATGTGCACCGAACCACACCTCTCCCCTACCCCTCCACTGTGCTCCTCAATCAGCCCAACTATCCGGCCACCAGACCTCTACCCCTACCACCCTTTACCTACCCTCATCCATGCCCAGCCATTGCACCGATCTCATCACTTCACGCATTTGCCCCATACCCCGCTGTCTCATCCACGTTGCACCCATGTGTCACCCTCAATCACCATCACACTCTACCTTATTCCTCCTTCCCTACCCCTGCAACATCAGCAGCCCCTTTTCCAGCCCCTGTCCCTCCATCCCTGCCGTCACCTCCCCCACTAACAGCCGCTGCACCACCACCTGTTGCTTCTCTTTCGCCCCTCTGTGTAACGCTGTCGGCTTGCATTGTAGCCGCCGTGGAAATAGCGTTACATACATTCTAATTAGAAGAGAATGCCAAGTGACTTATTGTAACTGCTTCATTGCTGTGTAGAAGTGGGTTTACATATTTACATATGTACAACCTCTTGTAAACTGTTGTTCATAAAATGCACCTCCAAGAACATTTTGTAGGAACAAAATATATTTTACTAATCAACCACATTGGCAAACAACGTAGGACATACGGGCATGTATTACAATACATTAAACGCAGATGAACAACACTTTAATCTAAGTCTCATGTCAAACAAAATCTAAAGAGACAGTGCTTTATGCCATCCACTTTACAAGCAGATGGAAAAATAACAGTTCATAATGAAAGATGGACTGGCCAGTAATTACTGTAATTGCCCATTGCTGTTCTACAGTATAACTTATTACAACGCATTTTAGCATACACAAGCGACGACAGTGAATTTAATGACATTTGTTGTGTAAGTATGTTTTTTTTATATATATACATTTTCTCCGAACACTTTTGCATATCTGCAGTGTTTGGAAATGCTTTCGTTTACGTGGCCAGGCATAGAACTTAGGCTATCACTAAAAATTGGGGTTTCCGTAGCCTTAATGGAAATTCATCTCTAAACTTTAGTCTGTTCATGAGCGCGTGCGTGACTTTTATCAAGAGCTGTTTGCTTTGAGTCGACCCTCTTCCACTCATCAGTGTCCGTAGACCACAAAGGTCAAACGGCCAATTAGGAGTGACAATGTAACGCGATGACAAATGTCACCAGTGAGTGGCAGCTGTTATGCTAACTGATTGCGACTGTACTAACCTCTTGATGTAGAACAGGTTGCCAGTGTAGCAAGCAGCAGCAGTCTTACTTTCAGAAGCCTTGTTCTGGCATCAGATTTGCCTGATCTGCTTGATTCTCTACAGGTCAAAGTGGGTATTGTATGTATGGATTTCTTTCTCACCAAACGTAGCCAAACCGTGCCAATTGAAGGTCTTGGTGGTGATGTGGAACCTGTGTATGACTTGCACAGTCTATAAGAAGCCATATCTGGCATATTTCACCTGATCTGCTTCATGATTTTTCAGGAGCTTGTCTGCGTCCACAATATATAGACTGTGCAAGCCACACACAAGTTCCCCATCATCACCAAGATCCAGGGCCCTATTATGCAATAGGCACAGAAGGCACTGTGCCTAGGGCCTACGAAAACTAAAGGGCCTACAAATAAACATTTTGGCCATATTGTTTTGTTTGTATGATAAAGCATGTAACCAAGATATCTTATTGAATAAATACATGTATTTGGCAAGGAGAGGCACAGCGTTTCAAATTAAATCTGCTCATCTGCAGCACACAGCGTGCCTCCCATCGAATTAGGGCACAGACGAAATAACGAGCGTATCGGTAACGACATCTGTCCAGCGGCTGGACCAAGTACCGCGTGAGAAACAAACGCAGTGACAGCGGTGGCAGTAACATGGGGCAGCAGCAGCGCCAACTGCAGAGAGTTATCACTGAAGGCCTACGAGCCATAAGTGCCGAGGGCCTACAAGAACCTTAATCCGGCCCTGCCAAGACCCACTGGACCCCGTATCAATCTGAAGCAGATCAGGCAAATCTGATGCGAGATCAAAGGCTTTTTGCTTGACAGTGCCGCTTACACCAGCCACCTGTACCACAGCAGGCGGTTGATGCACAGCGGCAATCGGTGAGCGGCATTGCCGGGCTTCGCCGGTGACGTTCACCTGGCGCGTTGCATTCCCACCGCTGAATTCGCCGTTTGACCTTTGACCTTTGTGGTCGACACGAGACCGGCGCGTGGAAGGGAGGGAGGGCGACTCAAGCGGTAACGTTTCAACATTAACGAGGTCGTTCACCGTTTCACGTGTTGCAAATAACAAATTACGGAAATCAGATGGCCAAAGGCGATTTCTGTATATGCAATCAGATTACTGTCTCTTAACGTAAAACAAAATTTGGCGATTCATAGCCATCAACCTAACATATCTTAAATTAGAATCAAATAATTATAGAAAACAATCAGATTAAGATAACAATAACCTGAATTAATCAGTCATTTGACAACAATTTTTTTTAAGTAACTCTCTCCAACACTGCATGTATGCCAATAACTTTTTGTTGTTTGAAAAATACTGAATAAGTTTAGTACAATAAACATCGCGTAATTTAATTCGAATGTTATAAATAGAAAATGTGGGTGCAGTGAAATAGACACAATAATGAAGAGGGGACGTTAACCATTTTTGGTAACCCTAAATATTTTGTTTATTTTTTAAAGTGTCCATTTGGAATGAAAATTACTATAACACAGCTCCGCACAGCACCAGATCGTCTGTTCGAACCACAATGTTTTTTTTCAAGATTAATTATAACATTGCCAATGCAATTAGCATCTGTGCGTGTCTACACATGTAAGATAAACTCCTCTCCTGAGTACTGCAGAAGCAGACCATTGTTGCCCTATACTTTATGTGCCTTTAGTCCATCGGCCAGGGAGGTTGGGTTGGTACTGCTTGGGGTGGCAAACGCTATTCCAGTGCCCACAATGGGCAGTATCCACCATGACCAGAAATCTTATCGTATATACTGTCCGTTTCATAGACAAGTCATATTTATGCTCTTAGTCCGTTGACGTTTCATATCACGTTCAGTTTTATTTTCTCTTTATATTATATTTTATGTAAAACGTGCTGCGGTACCCTTATTTATTGACAATATTTATCATTACAAGCTACCACCTTTGCCTTGCTATCGTACATATTTCTGATCCAGAGAAGAAAATCTTAAAGGAAATCAATGTTAGCCTTTGCCACCCTTAGTGGTACCGATAGAGCATTTTTGGGGCCAATGGCTCACAGACCACTTTCAGTAGACCTGTTGGGGCTGCTGGTGTGTCACGTGCTCAGTTTGGAAGAAATACAACATTACACGGAAATTCTGGATTGAACTTTGACCAGAAAGTAGTTATCACTACAAAGGCAACCTCTTTCAAGACGTCTGGCTAGCGTGTACGAGTAGGCCAAAATACCCTCTCGAGCACTCCCTTTGGTGGAGGCCCTTTCAATAGCAGTGGTTGTAAAGCGGGCAATTGCAGGGCTGCACCGTTTCTCCTAATAAATGTTTTAATTGAATTAAAACATTTACATCTGACCAAATGCGGCAGCGGTTCGAGCATCATCAGCATAACGTGAATTTGTTTAAAGAGGGGATACATAAAAACTTGGAAAATGTTAAACTAACTTTAAAGAAAATGTTAAATTCTGAACAGAATGAGTAACATAATAGTCTGCTTCTGTCATAAAATACGCTCTCTCACCTCCTCTGTACAACGCCCATTTTGTCCAGCCCCCTTTCAACATTTTGCGTAGCAAATGGAGCATGCGAATTGGAAGGAGCCATCAGTCTTCAGTAAAAGGGGGCTCGGCACTCTCCAGTCCACTCTCTATGCAAGACCATGGATGTTGAAATACAGAAAACTAGCAAGAACAGTAATCTCCCCATAAAACGTTTCGACAGTGGTGCCAAATTATACAGTTATTCCTTTGTTCTTCACGAACTTGCTATCAGCGATGTTGGCTTTTCGCGAATCGCATCTGGAACTCTACACGACTGCGTCGAGAGAGAGATGAGATACAATATTGATTTTCATAGGCAAATATCATTATCGGCGAAATTTGCAATTCACCAGCGAAATTTGCTATTCACCAGCATCTCCGGAACGTACCCCTCGCGAATAGCGAGGGAATACTGTGTGCTGTACCCTCGTACTAGACTCCACGCCCCCCCTGGCTTCTCAACGCGGCTACACGTGGCTACTTGGCACTGGAAACTCCACACTGTTTCAACGTGCTACTGGCTCGCAGCTCCAATAATTTTATTTTTAACTTGAATCTATCTCGATAATTCATCTGAACACGAGTTTGTTCATATTTCAGTCCTGCGATTGGCTGAAATGAGGTCAACATCGGTGTTACCGATGTTTTCAATGGCAATGCACTGTGGATGGTTGATCCCACGGCGTGAGACCAATGATGATTAACCGTACAATAGCAATGCTATGATGGTTCGGAAGACGCTAAAAAGAGGCTCAAGGTTAAAGAGGTGTGTGAAGAGTCGTGTGGGGACTCAAGCGTGACATTCACGTAGTCTTCAAAGAAAAAGCAAGAGTCTGACAATGATCGGATTTTTTGCCTAACCTGTGTGTACTGTTTTAATGTCATGATGCATGACATAATTGCTGTTTGTTGTCCGTCCCCTCCCCCACCTCTGATTAGCACGGTGCGAAAGAAGTTCAACATACACATTATTGTAGCATGTACCCGACCCACATTTGGTAGAACGCTCATCAATATACGACACAAAATATTATAATTGAGATGTTTGGTCCAAACAAATAAATGCCACCTATCGTGTAATACATTACTACCGTTACATGTAATGTCGTACTTAATAACTTATAACTGCCACACACACACGCACGCCGTATTGCCTTTTGCACAGATGGCTGGAGGCTTAGACCAGAATCTAAGGCACAAATTACATATCGGTATCCCAATGACATGTCTTAAAAACTGGCTAACTGGAATAACATCGATTAAAAAAACTTACAGCAAAATTGTACCCTCACAGCAAGATACTGTACAAGGCACGCAGTGATTCTTCCATCTCACAACAATTCGATTTTCATGACCCAGGGTCCCGAATCGATTCAAGGATCAATTATTGTTCCTGTTTAGTTGCAAATGAAATCTCTAGCAGCTGCATGGGTCCATGTGAACCAAATAAAATGTACACGCGAAGCCCTTTTGTCGATTCACTGCTGGATGAGGGCCTCCCTATGCCGTGCTGGATAGGGTGGATCAGTAAAGACAGGGATGATAGATATGGGAGCATAGATGTACAGTACAATGTATATTGCTGCAGAAAACATGCATTGTTCTCTGACCTCTGCTTCCCAACCTGTTATGTGCACTGTGATGGCCCATCCACACTATTCAGGCTCCAGCCTGCTTTGCCTCCGTGATCCGAGGCGATCGAGAGTGATTTTGTCATAGGGGATCCAATTGCATGCAACATTTGAGAGTACAATAATGAGCTCTTTGAGCACACGATTCCACGAACGCAGTGAGCATGGCAATACAAAAAAAATTGCGCATTGTTACATGCTGACGGGATACTATACAGCCATAATTAGGTCAAAGGTGGAAGTGTCTCGCCTGTTCAAACTAACAAAGGACCAATGCTCCTCATAATTGGTGGCCCTGATCAGCGGTGGGGGTCAGAGGGCACTCTTGGTAAAGGGCAGAGCCCTCGACTAACGATCAGAAGGATGAAATTACACATCATAGTTGGAGGTTGACCTAGCCCATTCTCTTTCTAGGGATCGATAAAATGGCTACCATCTTTGTGGAAATATAACAGTGATCTTCCAATAGAGGAAATGGCTCTCATCCTAATAATTTAGAATTTTTTTTTACCACTGGCTCACAGGCAGTGGTGAAAAACAAAAAACAACGATATAAAAACAATCATATATGGCAGTGCGTTTAGTGCCATTGTCAATAAATGCATGGGAAGAAATGAACTCAACAATTTTGGCACTAGCGAAATGTTTTATTCTCGGTTAAACTGAGACTTGAACCCAGGTGTTCAGAGGTGCAGGTTCAGTACCTGAACGCGATGATTTGTCCACACCACCACGACATGTCCATCCATGTTTAAAAGTGGCGCTTTCCCTATTTAGTTTTCGGACGGTGGATGGAGTAAATAATATATATGAAATATTTTCTCACACGCACTGAAACACCTAGACTACATTACAACATACTGCAGCTCTCCGATAGAAGTGTAACACTTTTTTCATGAACATTTAAAGCCTTTCACCAATTGCATCATGAAGGCACGCGATACTTTAAATTATTGTCACTTCCTGTACACACTCATCGAATATATCTGACAATATGAAATGCGTAATGACTGCACACTCTAATTACAGTAACACAATAAATTACTGATGCTTCAGCTGAATAAATAAATAAGTGTTGTTGTTTCTTGTTTGAACTCATAACGGTAATGGAAAAATGAACAACAATAATCAGGGCCAACTGCCCTTCGGGTTAATAATACTTGACTCCACGTCATTGTACACCATGGCAAATATGTACCAACTTCGATAGCCTTTGGGTTCATCAAGCTGGGTTTCCATGGACCAGAGTCAATGGAGGTTGGCAATTTAAAGCAAATAAGCGCAAAGCTACAAACGACGGTCGTGCCTTCATCAGCCTTCGTTCGCTTTCAAACGCATCTACGAAAGTTGCACCATTCACATGTCAAACATGCAAAAGCGATGTCCACGGAATAATCCTCGTTATACAAGCGAATGGACGACCATTTTGTTACCTTTTTAATAAATCTCTGTAGAAGATGAAAGGCAGTTCTATAAATATAGCTCTGTAAAACCGGAGATTTCTGAAACGTATCTCTGTGACAGTGAACGGAGGCCACCGCAATGGAATCCTGTGGAAGTAAAGCGAGTGGAATTAAGGCTCAAGAAACTTAGTAGTTTCGTCGTGTTTGGCTTCACTGCCACCCAGCCTGAAAGGCGGCCTCCTCGCGTGGCCTTCGTTGGACTTCAATGAGGCCTGGAGCACAGGTGAAGGATCTGCGATGACGCTTGGACCCAGCTCTCGGCCCGATGTCCCGGGGAGTCGGCCTCCTCGGCAAAGAGGTGGCAAACGTTGTGCGAGACGCTGCCAGCCTTGCGAGCCACGAAGCCGAACATCCTGCACAAGTCACCCGCCATGGCACAAACATTCCCCGCTTAGCCTTGAACGGCATGTGCTGGTAGCGAGCACCCATTAAAGCTGGCACGGCGCATAACGGGGGGGTGTGGCCAACACTACGCCCGGCCAGCTTTGTCTCCACAGTGCTTACAATACTTGGGGGGGGGGGGGGGGGAGTGCGGAAGATGGAGGGGGGAACACGAGGGACCAAAAGACTTACAGTACTTGGGTGGGGGGGGGCGGGCGTCATACCAGTATGGTCGAAAAGCACCGGTCTGGTATGATGTGTCAGAACTGCGAGCAACGGTACTTACTTTGCCGCTGGCTTGTCTTCAGCCATGGGCCACCTTCAAATAAGGACACATTAAATTAAAACGATTTAAGTCTTCTGCATGCGATCATTATTCTGTTCGGATAAAGCATTTACAGGCGTTGTACTGTATATATGCTGCATTTACGTAAAATAATATACAGATATAAATAATGCATTCGCGTATATATATATTAATATCCATGAGCCTCTGCAAAAGCGAAAGGGCTAGAATGTTAATTTTCATGAGGTTCATGTTACTATTAAATGTCTCCATCAACAAAGGAAAAAATCATTGATGCGATGCGCGTTGGCCAGTTCGTTCAGATAGAAACCTGGTTCAGTCTCCCTGCTCAAAGGAATATCGATCATCATTCATCTAAATCGACAGCTCTGAGCCTGTGATGCAATTACACATTCCGATGGCAAGTTCCAGTGTGACTGGAGGACAACCAGTCTTGACTTCCCACAAAGTCATCCTGATTTTGTTTCAACCCTCATGCCATTGCAAGACAAATATTCCCATATAGCCTGAACATATTTTTGGGGCAAGTGCTGTTAGTGAGCACCTATGAAGGCTGACACGGCACCCAAACGGGTGCGTGGCTAGTACCGCTCCCCAGTGGCGATGTTTACTCACCACACCAGGTACTCATTTGAGGCTGAGTCGACCTAAGGGAGGCCCAGGACCGGTTCAGATCATCGTCACTGGTGTTGGCCATGAACGGGAATCGAACTCGGTAGCCAGGTTCGTAGCGCAAAGCGGTAACCACTACACTACCGCTCCTTGCGCTCAACACATACATAACTATTACCAGATAAGGCTCACTGATCTATACAACTTTTTTTCAGAAGCGACCTGGCCACAGATGATAGCTCAACGAAGTGGCTTATCAACATGGACATTTATAGCTAGCCAAATACTCAATGCACGTGGAGGGAAAAACCGGAGGACCCGGATAAAAATCCACCTGATCACGCGTCAGAGTTGGTATCGAACTGACGACCTCCTGCATACCTGGCGAGGTAGTTAACAACTCGGCACCATGACACCCCAATATGTATGCGTGACGTAGAAAAGCATGCATATTTTTACACACACACAATGCATGTGCTAATGCTTGCACATTTCACTACATGCTTTACTAAACAATAACTTAGGTGTGCAGTGTAAAAACGCACCTTGTGACATCAGGAACCATGGCACAGAAGCTTATGGATTCAGCTGGATAGTGACGCCTAAAGAAGCGTCTGCGGAATATCAAACAACAAAGCGTCATAACAGCTGCTACACCAGAGACAAATGACCACATGCGATCGCGCGATAACTCCATGCGTTACTGACTCGCCGTGTCTACTTTCATCCTATGCCGATGCACACAACAGTTGTCCGATACCTTCCATAGCAACTGTCGGTGTTGGGTAGGAATGTCCATCGTCTTTAACCGATTCACGGGTCACACAGGCAGAACCCTGCGATACGAACGCCCGACTTAAGAATATCCGCGCTTACGAACGAACCGCCATAAGATATGATTATTTTTAACCATCCGAGTGGCGAACGTTCGGTAGTAAGTACGAATCGAACCGCGCAACTAATTTTATCGGCGGAGCGACCCTCCGTGAGATGTGAAGAGTCCCAGCATCCCGTGTGATGCACAACGACAGTGAACCATTCAACTCAAGGTAAGTAAAAACAAAAGTACATTTTCTTTTCTTTTCACGTGACTTTATTTTATGTTTTAATTACTATGCAACATTTCTAACAGTATTAAATGCTTGATTTAAAGCTTTCGTGACTGCAGGGATTCATATTCTTGGTTATTTCGGTAAAGTCACCACATAGAAGGGAAACAATGAAATAATTAACCAAATATAAAAACAATAAAATTCTCACGACGTTTCGACTGCAACACAAGCAATCATCATCAGGTGTGAAAACCACAACAAGAAAATTTGAAAAAAGTGGCTGTTTTTTTTTACGTTAGCACCACGGAGAGCGATTTGACAGTTTGTTCAGATGGACAACATTTCCAGGGTTGCCCCAATCTCAGCTGCTGCTGAGCATAAACAGAAGCAGTCGGTAGCTGTCGCTAACCTTATATATTTTTCCTTACACATTTTGAGTTGCTGGGCTGCAGTGCAGTCTTCAATCGGGTTTTTTTGTTCTTATTTTTTTCCTAACCAGTGCACCGACTGGTGGCCAATCACAGAGAAGCACGACCACGTGACCAGACAACCCTCAAGTCATTTGACTCTGGGTGGCCAATCAGACAGCCTCTGTCACATTGCCTAGCTGGCCTCACCTCGACGTCAGTAAAATCGCCACAGGAGGTGGGTCCAACAAATGAAAGAGCAGTCATCAACGAAGCACCTTAATTCCGAGACCATCAAGTTCCCTGTGTCCCTCTTGGGCGTGTGCTCACTTCCTGTAGATGTCGGTGAGCGTGATCCCTTGCCCGGTCACTCTCAGGTGCACGTGAATCGGCATGGACCTCGTAGCCATTCCCATGATCACCGAAGTTGCCCGGGCGACCGCCTGGGGTCCCGTGAGAGACTCCATCTCCACGGAATCGAGGAAGAATGCGGTACCCACTGGTTAAAAGGGGAAATCAGCAGCATCAGCAGTGGCAGCAGTAGCAGTAACGGCATTATCATAGTCAGCAGCAGCAACGGCAGTAGCTGCAGCGGCAACATCATGATCGCCAACAGCATGACCACCGCAACCCTTCGCTGTCACCAACACTAAGGGCCACTATCAAAAATACCACGACCACCACCATCATCGTCAAGACCTCTTCTAACAAGCCGATTGACGCAGGGTGTTCATGTCTACAATAGAGCATTGAGGTAATATTGCTGAGATACATTTAACATTCATCATATTCACTCACGAGGTATACTCACGCTTGCAATCATCATTATTATAATAGGCCCTTGTATCAACATTGAAAATGATCGTCATTGTCATCATCACTCTTAGATTCACGACCACTCTAATCACCATCGTCATCATCATCTTCAACCACTCTGATCACTATTTTCTATTTCACCATAGTTGCTGAACTAAGGGCCAAAGCCCCAAAACAGCCAGAAACTAGTGACCAAAAAACAAACAGCACTATTAATGTTGTGATAAATAAGAGTTTACACAATTCTTGAATCCAGCAAGGTTGTTCGAAGCACTTGGGAAAATAAGACGATGAGAAGGGAATTCCCAAGTGGAGCAGTGCAAGGGCAGAAGCCGAAAGAAAAGCGTTGTGACCTGCGGTGTGGTGATTGAGTGACTTGGTGAGTGGGTGGGTGAGTGAGTGAGTGGGTGATTGAGGGAGTCAGTGGGTGAGTTAATGAGTGGGTGAGTGAGTGGGTGATTGAGGGAGTCAGTGGGTGAGTTAATTAGTGGGTGAGTGAGTGGGTGATTGAGGGAGTCAGTGGGTGAGTTAATGAGTGGGTGAGTGAGTGGGTGATTGAGGGAGTCAGTGGGTGAGTTAATGAGTGGGTGAGTGAGTGGGCGATTGAGGGAGTCAGTGGGTGAGTTAATGAGTGGGTGAGTGGGTGATTGAGGGAGTCAGTGGGTGAGTGAATGAGTGAGTGAGTGGGTGGTGATTGAGTGAGTCAGTGGGTGAGTGCATGAATGAGTGGGTGAGTGAGTGATTGAGTAGTTGATTGAGGGAGTCAGTGGGTGAATGAATGAGTGGGTGAGCGAGTGGTTGATTGAGGAAGTCAGTGGGTGAGTGAATGAGTGAGTGGGTGAGTGAGTCGGTGGGTGATTGAGGGAGTCAGTGGGTGAATGAATGAATGAGTGGGTGAGTGGGTGATTGAGGGAGTCAGTGGGTGAATGAATGAATGAGTGGGTAAGTGAGTTGGTGATTGAGGGAGTCAGTGGGTGAATAAATGAGTGGGTGATTGAGGGAGTCAGTGGGTGAGTGAATGAGTGGGTGAGTGAGTGGGTGATTGAGGGAGTCAGTGGTTGAGTGAATGATTGAGTGGGTGAGTGAGTGGGTGATTGAGGGAGTCAGTGGGTGAGTGAATGCGTCAGTGGGTGAGTGAGTGGGTGATTGAGGGAGTCAGTGGGTGAGTGAATGAGTCAGTGGGTGAGTGAGTGGGTGATTGAGGGAGTCAGTGGGTGAGTGAATGAGTGAGTGGGTGAGTGAGTGGGTAATTGAGGGAGTTGGTGGGTGCGTAGATGAGTGAGTGGGTGAGCGAGTGGGTGATTTAGGGAGTCAGTGAGTGAGTGAATGTCTCAGTGGCTGAGTGGGTGACTGAGCGGGTGAGTGAATGGTTGAGTAAGTGAGTGAGTGTGTGGGTGAGTGAATGTGTTGCTCTGAGCACAGTGTGGATGAGACAAAACAGTCAGTGTGTGGTTGACTGAGGCCTCAACGTGGATGGAGTGATCTAAGAGTGAGCTGGAACGGTAACCATGTTAGTTCCAATGGAAAGGCGATAATGAGGCAGATGGCTGGCAGTGAGAGAGTGACTGAAGTCAACTACTGCATGCTGGATCATCAATAGACCTGACTGTGATCACAATAATCATCAACATCATCACTGACCGGCCTCGGGTGGCTGTGAGGAGCCAGTAGAGCCGCCTGTAAGAGCGTCGCATAGGTCATGGGCCTTGGTGAGGTCAAAGTCACGGTCGGGCAGCCGCAGACATCCAGGCAGTGCGAGTGGCGTCACCGTGTGCTGGTTAACGAGCGCCGACAGACTGCCTGCACACCCCAACCCGCAGCACGTCCTCGTCATCAACACACCTCCACGTGTTCATGGCACGATATGCCTGGGCAGTGCATCGCTCAGAGTGTGCGACCCACGAACCGGAGGTAACCGGAGCCTGGGAATGTGAGTCGATTGATTAACCAGGCATTTTTTTACGGGAATTTTTTTTTTCTTGGCGAGGATTATTCGGTTCCACTTTAAAAAATGGTCCTCATCCCAACATCCTTTCTCCTCGAAGAAAGGGAAACCTCCGGCAAGGAACACCCAGCGTGACACACCTGGTGGTGCCGATGACGACAACGGGCTCCGCCCATCGCCTCCCGCCCAGCGGCACACGTGCGAACAGAGGCGAGGCTTGTTTTTCCAACTAGTTTTGCATTATCCGATGAGTTAAGTAATCCGACCGATCGTTGGTCGAGTAATCGATCGCTCAAGTAATCGGGCAGCCCAGCTCCAGGTGGTTGTGACTAAAAATCGTGTACAGGTTTCAACTCGGCCAATCACTGTCATCGTCCATCTCGGAGCGATAATGCATTGAGGGCCACTTTGTAGGAAGTCAAAAGTGGTAGTCTACTGAAGAAACTGACCTCTACAATGGGCATATTAAATCTTTACGCCACTGGAGGCTATTGGAGGCCCAACAGGGAGGCACTCAAGAGATCAATGATCAATGAACCAAGTGCAGACCTCTTAAGTCAAATACCAAATTATAACAGTTGCAGAGGCAGGAAGGAAGGAAGCCGTACATGGTGACATTGGTGGCATCGGCTCTTGATGCCCTCTTAATCTTGACTTTGAAATTGTAATAAGCCAGGGGGGAGGGCTGCCCTTGCACCGACGGTGCAATACGGCAGCTTGAGCTGTCCATTATCTACTCGGCACTCACCGAAGAAGGGTTCATTGGGGCAGCCCTTCAGCCGCACTCCCTGAGCCTTCGTCTCGATGAGGAAGTGCCTGACGAGTTCATCCACCGTGTCTCCTGTTCACGAATCACATCAGACCAAGGCAATGTTTACACACTACAAACCAAGCACTGATCTGAGGCTGAGTCGACCTAGGGGATTGCCCAGGACCCATTCAGATAATCGTCACTGGCGTTGGCCGTGAGCAGAAATTGAACTCTGGTCACCAGGTTGGTGGCGCAGCACGCTAACCACTACACTACCGCTCCTCCACCCACAACAAAGATCCCCCAATTAGCCTGAACAGAATGTAGGATGCAAGTGCTGTTTGCGAGTAGCACCTATGAAGGCCTGCATGGCACACGAGGGGGTGGGTGGCCAACACCACGCCCGGCCAATGGCGAAGTTTACACACCACACCAGGAACTCATTTGAGGCTGAGTCGACCTAGGGGAGGTCCACGCCCGGTTCAGATAATCGTCACTGGTGCTGGTCACCGCTTTCGTAGCGCAGACGTGCTAACCCTTAGACTAACTCCCCCCACACACTACTTTAACAAACGTACACAAACGCACGCGCACACACAAACACACTGACTCCCAGCGCGAGGTCGACTCATGACATCTCGTGGAAGATCGCTCCTCTGAACAAAATAGTTCTGCAGTTCAGTTTAATGTTAATCTTTTTATATTTCATGGACTGGTTCGTAAGTCCGCGTGTTCCTAAGTCGGGTGTTCCTCAAGTCGAGGACTGCCTGTACCTTAGTCAACCGAATTAGTATCCCAATGCAAATGGGAGGTCTGCCAAATTGTATTTCGAGGCCTGGGACAACATTCCCAGATGATGCCCTCCTCTGAGGCCTCCTCAGCCGTTTCTGTGGTCCCCTCGCATGAGGTCCGGAAAAAAAAAAAAACTCACTCGCTTTCCTCTCTCCCCGCCTTCTCTACTGGCCTGGCTGATGGTTCAGTGGCTTCGACATGACCATTATGATAATTGTTTTTTTACGCTTTTATCTGGCAACAAAACTGACACCTTTTTTACAAGGAGTCATGTTTACATTGGACACAATACCTGCGGTCGGAACGCAAACAAAAAACAACAACTCTGATAATGTATGTACTGTCAGTTTTGTTGCCAGATAAAAGGGTAAAACAACAATTATCATATTTTGTTACTGGCAAATGAGGTTTCCAATGATGGCCATTATGATCTACACAGCCATTTAAATCAGAACACAACATATAGAGTATTTGTCTGCTATACTATAAAACGAAAAAAAAACATTTTATATTTTGCTAGGTAAAGCCCACTGAGCTATATAGCTCTTTTTCAGAAGTGACCTGGCCACAAATGATAGCTCAACGAAGTCCATGTGGACATTTAAAGCAGCCAAATACTCTATAAACACATGTTGATTGTAAAATGTGGAGGGAAAACTTGGAGGATCAGGAGAAAAATTCACTCGACCACGAGGAGAGAGACACGCAAACTCCAAATATACAGGGGGCAGGGTCCGGATCGAACCCACGACCATCCAGTATATCAGGCGAGGTAGTTAACATCTCGCCACCGAGGCATCCATACATTTACACGTGACATGTCACTTCGTTGGCCGGGTCGCTTCTGAAAGAGCTATGTAGCTCAATGGGGCCTACCTGATCAAATAAAAAAAAAAGTTAAGCTTAGTTTTGGGGCCGTCCATATATGACGTCACGCACCTGGTGGGGGGGGGGGTCAGACATTTGTGACGATGTGTGACGAGAGGGGGGGGGAGGGGTTTAAGAAATGTGACGTCACATCAAAATGCGTAACTTTAAATGAATATAGAATTGTCATAACAACACTAATTGTTATAACAACACTGTTACAACATCAAGAGTGCAGCGCCACATTAAACACGCACTACAATGACAATAGTTTAAATCGATTTGAAGCATGTTTTATTTTCAAAATGGAAATATGGTTTGAAGGGGGGGGGGGCAGAGCTTTGTGACGTCATATTTGAGGGGGGGTCAAAAATCGTCCAAAATCGCGTGACGTCATTTATGGACGCCCCCTTTGCCGCACCACCGCATGCGCCGCTCACCCTGCACAGGCACGCCGGGCGGCAGGTTTTCAACCTTCATGGCGAGCCCAAAGTCCCCGTGGAAGGAGCTGCTGTTTCGAATGACAAACGCCCCGGCTTCGCGTGGGCAAAGCAGCGTCACGGCTGCACACGGCAAACACAGCGAGGCGCTGCAGGTCGGCAAACGCACGACTACACACGCAACTCGTCAAAGCGCATGAAACCCAACATCGCGTGATTCCCCGGGTCGTCCTCGCGCGCAGCGGCTCTTCGGCTGGCCATTGGACAGAGACGGTCACCGCATCGCGCTAATGCCCTTTTGGAATATAGATTGTAAACTCATTTCTTTAGAACTCATTTTTGTGTTTAGTTTGTTGTCATTCCCCCACACCCCCGCCCGCCGCCCCGCCTCTGATTAGTACAGTTTACTACGTAAGGTGAAAAAGACGTGCAACATACATACACACTAGTGCCACTGGAGTAGGCATACAGATGCATACAGATGTTGCCTGCCGAGGGGAAGATATCAAGCCAAATGGCTGTGGTGATGATGATGATGTCAGAAGGATCCTGAAAGTCTTAATGATATCCGGCTCAAATGGATACAGAGGCAGCGTCCATCTGTTTAGAGCCCTTAGCCAACGGTGGAAATGTCGATACTTCATGGTAGGGGTGAGTCTATCCGTAGGACCAACTGCCGTTAACTTTCCCACACATTTCATCAACCGAACCAGGCTTTGAGTTCACAACCTTCTGATTGCGCACCGCACACTCGACCGCGAATCAACTTGACCGGATGGTCTTTGTACGTAGGTCATATTGACTCTGTATACTTAAACCAGATGGTGCCATTTGTGGTAGGTCACACTCAGGCGATGTGACGTGATGTGTCAACACTGCAACAGCTGTGAGATCTGGCAGAGGCAAGCGATGGTTGAGGTGAGGCAGCAATGCATGACGATGGCTGCATTAACCTCAGATTTTTATCTCGACCATAATCTCGAAACATCCATCACAGTCATTGCGTAACATCTCTTTCCGCCCGCCTGCTGCCCCAGCTGTCAACGTGGCACCCGCTGTGGACCGACGAGCCACGTGGTGCGAGGAGTGGCTCCCATCGTCAACAAGGAACCAATTCCTCGTGGGCCACCCTGCGATCTCCTCCCCAGGGTTTGATCTTCAGCGCCATGACTGGGCCCTGCTCAGCAAGTTCCCAACTGGCCAAGGCCTCTTGTGTGCGACAAATCCTGCACAGGTGGGGCCTACGCCACAGCCCAAAATGCAGCTGTGATGCACGACACGACGACGACGCACATTGTTCAAGACTCTGTCCGTTGACCAAGCGTTGCGGCGGGCTGAGGACACTGCATCCTGCAAATGATTAAGCCGCCGCCTGCCTCGGTGCAAATGCAAAATAAATCAATTGCATAAGACTACTAATTTGAAGCAGATGTAACCTGCGCTAGCTCGTTATCGAACATGAAATGGACACACGTTACACGCCACCACTGTGTCTGTGCTAATCCCAGATTCAATCACTCGCACAAGGACAAGTCGCGTTGTTCCACAACGCTCCTTACCTTGCTCCCGTGTGATGCCAGGTTTGTACCAGAACTTGGATGTGTCCTGCACAAAACTGATGTTGCTGCGGGTGAAGTGAGGGATCCTGTCTGAGCCCGGGTTGTTTCCATCTGGCCAACCTGAAAGCCAAAGAAACCACACCGAGCGGGTGAGACGACATTTCAAAGTCAATGAAAAATCACCGACCGATTGCCGAAGTCCTTTATTTAACCAGGTGAGGGCGTAAGTACATTGGCGATCAATGTTATTCGAGGTAGATTTGTAAACACGTCTATTGATTTGGGCTCTCTATAAATAGTGATTTTCCGTAAATCGCATCAGCCAGATCTTGGAAGCTCAGCTTGCTGGGGCCTGGCTAGTCCTTGAATGGACGACCATCCATCCGTAACAGGAGTTACAAGCTGCAGAGCTACGTGATTGGCAGTCGAGAGCATTGTAGCAAAATCCATCATATTTCTATATATTTTACAAGCTCCCATCCCTATTCTCACTGCTTTCACCAACCCCCCACTGACCACTGTGGTTGAGGACGGTCAATAACCCGCACGGCGTCAGGATGCCCTCATTCAGCGGTGGACTGACAGGGTTACAGATGCGCGCAAAGAGCGATATCATTTTTTTTATGTCAGTTTTTTTGAGTGTGTGCTCATTTTGATTCACTGAGAGTAATGTTAATGAGGTGCTTTGTATTCCTCTCTGGCACGAGATTGGCCACCTGAGCGCTCTGGCCACCTCTATCACCGTGTCCCGTGGTTGCTGGGGTCAGGCTCAGGGTCACTGGGCTCAGGTGAAGCGGGGGCTGCTGCAGCCAGGGGCCTCGGAAATTCAGGGCCTCCCAAACATGTAATTTATGTTTGAAACACAATACATTTATAAATAAAACGGTGTTATTCGGTCATTTAAGTCACGACATCGCCCTGTGTATTGCTACCAGCGATGCGGCTGCATAAAAGAGCGTTGTTCATTGTAACTTTGAGCTGTGCACACAGCTCAAAGAGACAAACTGAAATAACTAAGGTAAACAACAGAGTGTTTGGCATCAAGCGTGGGTCCCAGTGAAAACAATCAAGGGAGAGGAGTTGAACATGCCCCCCAAAAGCAAAAACGACGCCAGCACTGGACCCAAAGTGAACCTCAACCCGGCGCTGGCCGCGTACCGGAGGCTGCGACGTGCACGGGCGCCGCGGGGCCCCGCGTCGCGGGCGGGGCGTGGCCCCGCGTCGCGGGCGGGGCGTGGCCCCGCGTCGCGGGCGGGGCGTGCTGCACGAACGTCACGCTCGACGTGCTCGTCCCTCCGGGGCTCGACAGCTCGCTGTGCGGCGGCGAGCGGCGCTCGCTCGCAGAGCCGCGCAGCCGCTGACGCTCCTCCCACGACGCCCGCGGCGGCGGCGGCGGCTGCGGGAGCGCCGCCGGTTTGTTCCGGCGGAGAGACCACGAGACCGGGGCGGCGCCGACCGGCAGCGACGCCCGCGAGGTCGCGAGCGAAGGCGCCGCGATCAAGGAGCCGTCCCGGGCACTCCGAGGCACGGCTCCGCCGGCGGCCGTGGCGGCGGCCGTGGCCGCGAGCGGCCTTTGAGCAGCCCCGCTCGGCAGGACGGGGCCGCGAACGTCTGCCGCGGTGGAGCGCGTGCCCCGGTACGCGTCTGACGGCGCGCCGTCAAATCCGCGCGCGAGCGTGTGCTCGGGTTTGGCGTGCGAGTAGGAGGTGTAGCCCCCTTCGCCGTCGACGGAAAAGTGCATGGGCAGGCTGTCGAACCATGCGCCTTTGTAGCTCGACCGGCTGCTGGTGCCGCTCTTGCGGCCGACCCCTCCGTTGCAGTGCAGACCGCCCGGCGCACCGTTCGGTGGGGCTGCGAAGCTCAGCGACGTCTCGCTGCCAAGGCGCTCCTGCCGCGCGTCGCTCTGCCCCGCACCGGTGGCTCCGGGAGTTCCATGGTGAGCGTGCGAAAAACCGTGAAAAGTCGCCGGAGAGGCGGGAAGGTGTCCGTTAAGGTGCTTGGAGGCGGGCAGGGAGAAGCTCCCGGCGCCTTGAGTCGCCGTCGACCGTTCCGCTCCCTCTGGTGGGTAGCCGAATACGGACGCGTGCCAAGACCGCGCTCCTTCCGGCACGACCCTCGACTCGTTGCGGGAGCCGGACGAGGAGGACGAGGTGGACGGGAAGAGGTGCGAGGGGCCCTCTTTCTCCGACTTCGGGAACGCGGAGGCATAGGTGGGCAAGGTCCCTCGCCCCGCACCGCCGTGGTTGCTGCCGCTGGCAGGCAGGCGATGGGAGCTCACGAGGAGCGCGCTGGAGGGCCCCACGGGCAGGGCCTGCGTGAGGCTGCCTTCCTCGTGCTGCTCGCCGTGGCGGGCCCACGTGTTGGTCGGGTAACCAACCATGGACATGTAGGAGCTGGTGACGGAAGCCTGCGTGGAGATGCCTCCCGGTTGCTCCGTGATGTCGCTCGCTTTTGTCAAGGTGCTGGGAGCACTGTGAAAAATAGAAAAGACGATGATCTCCCGTATGAGCCGAAACAGAAGAACCCAAAGTCCACGTTCTTCATTACATAAATTGAGGTACACTGTGTTGTCGCCTTCATACAAAGACAAAGATCCCCCATATAGGCTTAACAGACCATTGAGGCAAGTGCTGTTAGTGAGCACCTATGAAGGCTGGAATGGCACACGAGGTGGTGGGTGGCCAAAAACCACGCCCGGCCACCTTCGTCTCCCAAGTGGCGATGTTTACTACACACCACACCATTTGGGGTTGAGTCGACCTAGGGGAGGCCCAGGACCGCTTCAGATAATAGTCACTTGTGTTGGCCATGAGCGGGAATTCGAACTCAGGTCGCCAGATTCGTAGTGCATTACGCTAACCGCTACACTACTGTGAAGAATACACATATACACATACGTACTGGATTGCCAGTGGTGCATAAGCACACAAAACAAAAACTCAACACATCTGTCAATAATACTGCACTGAAATGAAAATAATATTTAATAGCCAACGCTTCGGGACAATGGCCCTTTTTCTTGATCTGTGTGCTTTGAAGAAAGCCCATCTGATCTACATACAGTGAGGGAAAAAAGTATTTGATCCCCTGCTGATTTTGTACATTTGCCCACTGACAAAGAAATGATCAGTCTATAATTTTAATGGTAGGTTTATTTGAACAGTGAGAGACAGAATAACAACAAAAAACTCCAGAAAAACGCATTTCAAAAATGTTATAAATTGATTTGCATTTTAATGAGGGAAATAAGTATTTGACCCCCTCTCAATCAGAGAGATTTCTGGCTCCCAGGTGTCTTTTATACAGGTAACGAGCTGAGATTAGGAGCACACTCTTAAAGGGAGTGCTCCTAATCTCAGCTTGTTTCGTGTATAAAAGACACCTGTCCACAGAAGCAATCAATCAATCAGATTCCAAACTCTCCACCATGGCCAAGATCAAAGAGCTCTCCAAGGATGTCAGGGACAAGATTGTAGACCTACACAAGGCTGGAATGGGCTACAAGACCAACAGTTGGTGTGATTATTCGCAAATGGAAGAAACACAAAAGAACTGGCAATCTCCCTCGGCCTGGGGCTCCATGCAAGATCTCACCTTGTGGAGTTGCAATGATCATGAGAACGGTGAGGAATCAGCCCAGAACTACACGGGAGGATCTTGTCAATGATCTCAAGGCAGCTGGGACCATAGTCACCAAGAAAACAATTGGTTACACACTACGCCGTGAAGGACTGAAATCCTGCAGTGCCCGCAAGGTCCCCCTGCTCAAGAAAGCACATATACATGCCCGTCTGAAGTTTGCCAATGAACATCTGAATGATTCAGAGGACAACTGGGTGAAAGTGTTGTGGTCAGATGAGACCAAAATGGAGCTCTTTGGCATCAACTCAACTCGCCATGTTTGGAGGAGGAGGAATGCTGCCTTTGGCCCCAAGAACACCATCCCCACCATCAAACATGGAGGTGGAAACATTATGCTTTGGGGGTGTTTTTCTGTTAAGGGGACAGGACAACTTCACCGCATCAAAGGGACGATGGACGGGGCCATGTACTGTCAAATCTTGGGTGAAAACCTCCTTCCCTCAGCCAGGGCATTGAAAATGGGTCGTGGATGGGTATTCCAGCATGATAATGACCCAAAACACACGGCCAAGGCAACAAAGGAGTGGCTCAAGAAGAAGCACATTAAGGTCCTGGAGTGGCCTAGCCAGTCTCCAGACCTTAATCCCATAGAAAATCTGTGGAGGGAGCTGAAGGTTCGAGTTGCAAAACGTCAGCCTCGAAACCTTAATGACTTGGAGAAGATCTGCAAAGAGGAGTGGGACAAAATCCCTCCTGAGATGTGTGCAAACCCGGTGGCCAACTACAAGAAACGTCTGACCTCTGTGATTGCCAACAAGGGTTTTGCCACCAAGTACTAAGTCATGTTTTGCAGAGGGGTCAAATACTTATTTCCCTCATTAAAATGCAAATCAATTCATAACATTTTTGACATGCGTTTTTCTGGATTTTTGTTGTTGTTATTCTGTATCTCACTGTTCAAATAAACCTACCATTAAAATTATAGACTGATCATTTCTTTGTCAGTGGGCAAACGTACAAAATCAGCAGGGGATCAAATACTTTTTTTTTCCCTCACTGTATGTATTTTCCCTTCTCGGGCAATGTTGAAAATTTCCACCGTATATCCGTTTTATCGTGCATTTTTTTTTGTAATTCCCCAGCTTAGCTGTGCTCTGAGTTGACCAGGAGATGGCGGCGGTGGTGGCGTGAGGTTGTGATATATTTTTTTTCTCGTAAAGAGTACAGAGCAAGGCGTTACAAGCGAGCCGAGCAAGAGGAAAACATAGAGAAAGGTGGATGGATGCAAGTGTTGAAGGAGGACATGAGGAATTAAGGCATGGCGGCGCATTTGGCACAGAACAGAGGCGAGTGTAGAGCGATGACCAAACAATGTGGACCCCGTATAAGGGAACATTAGGCTAAGAATAACAAGGAGAAACGTGTGGGTTTTCTGTGGGCATTCAAGTTTCCTGCCACATGCAAAACACTTTAAAATAGAACGAGCTAAACATCCCAATGTAGGACGCCCCCACCCAGTGCCAGCCGTGCAGAACAAGTAGTACGCAGCACCGGTGGTCTGCAAGTCGTCATTCGTCCGTCAATAAGGGGGGCGATGTCACGGTGCGATTTTTTTTTCCGACTAAAGCAATGTGCGAGTATTTGATCAAATTTGGACCATGATTGCCGATGCACACGGCCTCCTCTTTGTTGAATAACGTCACGGGATCTTAAGGTTCAACTGTGAAGCAGAGGACACATTTTTTTTTTACAGCTAATACACCGGCAGTATTAACCAGGGCGGCCACTGGGCTTTAACTGGGAACCTCTGAAATGGGCGGCAAACGCACTGCCGCTCGGCGCTGCAGTGCAGAGCATGCCAATAGTCAAGTCAAGTCAATTTATTTGTGGTTAACACGTGGCGAATTCTGGAACAAATCTGCCACCCTTTCCCATTCCAATGACGTACGTGTAATCGATTGACGTACATGTACGTCATAATAAAATAACTTTATCGGTACGTATTCAGGTCAGCGCCAGTTATCATAGAGTGCGGTCGTGCATCTACAGTTCTCTGCGGTGAGCACAATGTCTTTAAAAACAATGGCGCTATGCCTTTCTAAATAAAATTAACGCTAACCGCTTGCACGTTCCGAGATTCAGCGGTGGACGGTACCAACCCTACAACTTGCAGACGTCTCGGAACGGGAAAGGGTAAAAAAAAAACACACACAGATTAAACAATTCTATACAGTAAAGTGAAGCAAATATTAAAAGAAAGTTGCGGCTGGGATTTAGTTGTAGGTAGCGCTGGCGAGCTCCCTCACCTGTGCGGGGCCAAAGGCTTTGCTTCTTCGGCACAGTAGCGTGCGGTGGGAGATGCAGAGCGCGCGCTGAAGGCATCGGATGTCCACGGGACCATCTCCACGTAGCTGCCTTGCTCTGTACGACACGCACACAATCAAAATATATATATTTTTTTATCCTGCAGAACTCCGAGGAGCCATGAAGCTAATTTTTTTTTTAAGATGTCCAGCGACACGAGTCACACACGGGCGCAGCGTTGGCCCGTCACGAGAAAGAAAGTCAGCGACGCATGCTCTGGTTGAAGTAGTAAGACAGTCACTGCCTTCATCAGTAACACTGGAACCAGGGCTTCACTTCTCACTCAGTATCTTCCAAGACGCTGCTCGATTGGCTCAGAGTAGGGATTATTGTTCTTGAGTGATACTAGCACTGCAGTGCAAGGTATGCCTGCCTATTCATGATACATATTCATAATATTACCATACCCTATCTTCCGATAAGGAGAAAATAAGTATCATGAGGACGAATGTAGGCAAGATGCATGTGGTGTGCCGTAATAATTCCACAAGATGCCAGACTGATATTCAGCACTTGTTATTTTAATGGAAAAATGTGCAGCCGGAGGCTGACATATCAGGTATTGGCCCTTCACTCATTGCAGAAAAGACGTGGGTAAATAAAATAACGTTCTGTATAGCCTGTTGTGTAGAGGCACAAATAAAAAAAAATAAAACGCTTTCCATTTTTGTCATGGGCACTGTCCTGCGAAAGGATCATTGCATACAGCGTTGATCATATCATGTAGTAGAGCAGTGGTGCCAGGAGGGAAATACAGGATGTCATCATTATGGATGTTGCCGTGTTGTAACGGTGAGCAGACTGGACTTGCAATCCTGAGCTCACCGGTTCGATTCGTGCTCCCAATGTGCCATTTGAAACATGAGAAAGTTTCTTAAACTCCCGCACCCACCCCCCTCCCTCCCTCCCTCCGCGTGTCCACTCAGCAGTATAAATGGGTACACATTAGTTAGTGCAGGGGCCGGCGACCAACACAACAATGAGAGCCGTTTTTTGTTCGAATTATTTAAAAAGAAAAAAATGTATATATTTCAAGGAGCCGCAACGCATGTGAATTTGAGACGGTCCTCGATAAACAACGGCACGAAGCGGTCCCTCGGTCCTTACAGAGCCACATGCGGCTTCGAAGCCGCAGGTTGCTGCAGGTTGCCAACCCCTGAGTCAGTGGGTCGATCAGGTCGCGTGCGGTGCGATAACATGTGGCTACGCCCAGCGCGGAAGAGTAGCCCGAGGCGCTCCAGCCTTCGCGCCAGCGGCGGCATGAGCGGCGACGACTGACCTTCGGGCGAGCTGTCGGGCTGGGCGACGTCCACACCGTTGTTCGGACCGAACGGCTCCATGCCCGGCGCCGCCGGCTGCTGAGCCAGCTCCCAGGGCCGCGACGGCGCGGGGCGGCGACCGCCGTTGTCGGCGGTTCCCTCGCTGCTGCTGCTGCTGCCGCCGCTGCTGCTGCTGCTCCCGAGCTGCAGAAGTCTCCTCTCGTCGGTCGCGCCCGTGCACTGGCCAGCACCTGCGGCCGCGAGCAGTGGCGCTTGGCGAGTGTGGGGCACTTTTGCACGTGGTTTCTTTTTATTATTATTATTATTAATCATCATCAACATTCATGCATAAGCAATGATGGCCCGAGGCAGATAATTAACTTCCCCAATTCCTCTGTGAGCTGGCTGCGTTGGACCCACTGGCTGAACGACTTGCATGAGCTGGCGTCATGGCTACAGCCCTTTCTATGGAGAAGTGCGCCTCGGTGCTCAGGGGGTTCCACTCAAGTCAAAGTAACTCATCGCAGTCGTCATGTGTGGTGCAGCATGACAGCGAAATATAACATTAGTTCAATATGCTACAGCCTTTTGTCAATCCACTGCTAGATAACATTCACGGCTGATGATTGCTGGGGTCAGGAATATGACTCGTGTGTGTGTGTGTGTGTATATATGTATGCCTACATGCATCCTTTATTTATAGCCAGGTAAGAGCACAGTGAGCAGGATTCCCGTGACTGCAGGAATCCATACTCTGGTTATTTCGGTGAAGTCACGCGTGTTGCGCCCGAAACGTCGTGATTTATTTCATTTTATACCTACGTGACTTTACCGAAAGTGCGTGCACTGATGCACTTAACCATGTAAGCACAAATTATCACTTACATTTACAATAGCTTACTATAGAATCATAATAATTCACAGTACAGCAAGTGGATTAATTTCCATCTGTATTCCATCTGTACGGTGATCGAGGGTTACCCTTCCTCTCACATGTGTTACCTCCCACATGTATGCATGCTTATTAATGGAGTGGGCAGAATATGACCAATATAGGGCTTCAGAGCTTGGGCAATTGTTGGCACCAGTTCTGGCTTCTTCCCCACTTTGCCTGTGGTTTCCCGCACCTCTGAATCATTCTCTCTCTCTCTCTCCCTCTGAGTGTACGAAAATATTCTGTACGATTCCTCATCATTATAGTAATAAAATCTTACGAAGAGCAACATTCGCCAAAGACGCGAGTCAATCCCGATTGCACATGAACGCTACGCAGTGGGTGCCAGTGCTCACCGAGAATCCCCGGAAGTGACGGTTGGTGCCCACTCGGCACCCGGTGGAGGCTGGAGACGGGAGTGAAGGTGGGGTCAAGGTCCATGATGAGGAGGTTTAGGGCCTCCAAGGACTGGTCGAGCTCACTCGGGCTAGGCGGGGTGTCGCGCCCGTCACCTGCCCTCAAGGACGTGAACTTGGCCGTGTCTCCCAGCAGTGTCACTGTCTCGGATGTCGTGCGGTTTGGCTCCGCTGGGGGTAGTGGTGGTGGTGGTGGTGACCAGGCCTTCACCTGCCTTCATGACCAGATTTCATCGTCATCATCAGCAGGAAAAGTAGCAACTGTTAGCAACATCTTCAGCAGAAGCAGTGACAGCATCTTCAGCAGAAGCAGTAACAGTATCATCAGCAGAACGTGCTCATAGATTACGTGAACGGAACTCACCTGTGACCCTGCACAGCCTGACGGCTGCTGTCTCCTCGCACCGGCACAGCGGGCACCATGGGGACATCTGCCCCAAATCGCACACAACGTGGGACCTCCTGCTGCTGTTGCCGCTTCTCATGATGATGCTGCTGCTGATGCTGCAGCCCACTGCTGCCAGGCTCCAGGCTTCGTTGTGATGCCCCCCTCCGCTGCACCATGGCGTAGAGATCAGAGCTCGGTGAACGAATAGCGGTCACCCCTGGAGCCAACCGAGTAACGTCGCATGGGGCGGCTGCGTGAGTCGGCTGCCCGTATTTCACGTTTGGCGACGTTGCTCGAGCTGCTCGCGCGTAAGGGCTGCGGCTGCCGATACCGTTCTCCTGTGGGCGAGCGTCCCCGGACCCCAAATTCAGCCGCAGGTCGCCCTTCCCCAAGTGGCGACGTCGGTTGGCGCCAGGACAGAACGTAAGCGCGCCACGCTCCAGGATTTCCATGGCACGCGTCGAAGGCGGCTCGTCGATATCATCATCATCTTGAATGTCAACAACATCGTCTTCATCGTTGACATCATCCTCATCATCATCTACATCATCGTCCAGGATGTCAGTCTCTCGGACCGGCATCATGCTGGGCGTGTCGCCAAAGTGCACCCTATGCGGGCTGTGCTGCTGATGATGTGGGTCGGAGTGCCGGTCACCCGCGGGTGCACGTGAGGAGTGCCGGTGTGCGGTGGTTGAAGCCGACAACCCGCTGCCTCCGGCGCAGCCGAAACCGTGCAACAGTTGCCGCAGCTGGTCTTGCTCCCCAGGGCTGAGAGCGGTGGGGCCCGCGTGCGTGTCGTTTGGGGAGGGAGCCCACGATGGTACAGGCGAAAGGGGCGACGGGAACGAATAGGCCGTGGTTGCCTGGCATTGGATTCCTGCAGGAACGCACGCACACACACACACACGTAGGATGATATGCCACCAATTGGACACATAAACGGCAGCAAAAAAAACGCTGACAATTGCCTCCTGAACGGAAGGTTTCGAGTTCGAATCTCGGATTGGGCGGTCGTCAAATTGACACAATCGTCTTCATTCCCCAGGGGGTAACAGATCGCGTGGGTGAACCACTTTGGTAGAAGTCTGCGATGCTCGCCGTGCGGGGAGCCTGTTCCCCATCACCTGAAACATTTGTTTCCCCCCCGCTCTCTCTGGGGCTGCCAGCGAAATGAGCCCTTGTTCTTTTGGCCGAGTGCTTCCACGGCAGGGGAAACAACGGACGGCGAGGGCGACCGAGGAGGCCGCCACGTACCGAGCGGGCTGGCGGGTGGCCGAGCGTCGTCGGACGTGCGCATGGACGCGGTGGATCGGCCCGAGTCGCTGCTCACGGACAGCGTGTGCTCCGTGTGGGCCGCTGCTGCGGCACCGCCGCCGCCGTCAGCCGCTCGGCGGCCCGGCTGCTTGGCCTCGGCGCCCGCCGGCCTCGCTTTCTCCGCTACGGGAGAAGGTGATGGGGCGAGAGGGGCATACCCGGCCGTTAAAATCATAATGATGATGATGAAACTATACACTACAAAGTTGCATATCCCACTCTAGACTGAAGTCAAAGTAACCAAACTTTTTTTTTTACCAGGTAAGGCCCTCTGAACTACGTAGCTCTTTTTCAGAAGTGACCTGGCCACAAACGATGGCTCAACAAAGTGACTTATCACGTGGAAATGTATAGCAGCCAAATACTCAAAACGCGTGATGCCGATTCTCAACGTGAAGGGAAAAACCGGAGGACCCGGAGAAAAATCCACGCAACACAGGGAGAACATGTAAACTCCTAATATACAGGCGTCAGTCGGGATAGAGCCCACAACCTCCTGCAGAAGCCTGGATAGGGTGAGAGCCTGGACAGGGCGAGAGCCTTGAGCTGCTGCTTAAAGGTGGATGATTGTGATTGGATGCTGCTGTACATGTACAGTGGGGAGAGAGTTAATGCAGTGACCTCTAGGTGCTGCAAGTCACGCACACTAACCTACAACGCTACCCAAATGGGCAATTACGCCGGGAGAGAGGGGTGGAGTTAATAATCGTTCTATTTATTTGTCACCTGATGCAAAGGTGTCCCAGGACGTGTGCAGGTGGCCATAGGAATCCCAGCGCAGGATTGGGTCTGTGGCACTGTGATCCACAGCCACCGCACCATCTTTCAGGAGGTTCTCGGCCCCTGTGGACACGTTCAGACAGTTCAGTGTATATAGACTTAAGCCCACAGAAAGATATGCAATAAATACCAATTCTGTGGTATAACAATGTAATAATCATCATCACTGCTCTTTTAGAATTTTGATCGCAGTCCACTGTCAGAAATTCTGACTCTTAAAAGACATTTCAAATTGATGGCCATTCAAGCTCTCACAAACCGAGGCCTAAAAAAGTGTATTCATTAAACAAAACAATAAATAAATAACAAAGGAAAAATGTGGTAATTTAATCAACTAAAAACAATGTCAAGAGGCCGTCATCGAGGAGTGGATTGTTTGTGTACATTGTTGTCTGTGTACATGTACAGGAGGAGCTGTAGTGCAGGGGTTAGCATGCTGTACTTTTAACTTTAGCTACCTAAGTATGATTCCCAGCCACGGTTAATCATCAATGACGAGTGGCATTGGAGCCAGTTCTGGCGTCCTGTTCAGGGGTCCTGTTCACTAACCTGCACTGAGTAACATGGTCAAGTATGGTCAAACAACCCCTGTGGCCAACCACGGAAAACTGACAAAAGCACGGTCAATTATTACTGAATAACAATTCCCCGATCTACTCGTGCTGAAATTCAGTGGATCATTCATGTTCTCACAGGCTCACTGTGCTCACCTCCAATGAGCACAGTTGGTACGGCACGAACAAAAAAGTTCAACAGCGAAAAAAGTGTAGGTTACTAGAAGCTGCATTTGACTCAGCAAACCACCGCACTAAGATACAAGTGTGCTAACCACAAGGCCACACAGTTGCCCATGAGGCCGGTAGGGTCTTACCTGCCATCCTGTCTGGGGTGGCTGAGAAAATCAACTGAACTTTTCCATCGTCCGGATACCTGGGGTCTGATGCGCAAAACACAGACACACCAGATGAACAGTGGCACAACTACGTGTGTCATCATCCCATTCAGAATTGCATGAGCTTGATCGGTTCCTTTTATCACCTCATTAGGTGAACATTTACAAGTAAATATGTGTTTGCATGTGTATTAGTGATCATGCCTGAGACCATCAAATTAATGATTGAAGGGGAGTCCACCATTTGAATGCAAGATCTTGACAGCATTGGATCAATACTCTAAAGAGGATATTCATCCTCTGAATCAAACAGATTCTGTAGATGGTGGTGGTGGTGGTGCTGATGATGGTGGTGATTGTGATGTTGATACTACTGTTTTTTTGTTGCCATTGCTGCTGAGGATGATATCGATGATGATCATGATGTTGATTCTGGCTGGGATAGTGGCAGCGGCGTTGAGCCAAGAATCTCAATCTTAAAATTCCAACAAGCTAGCCACCTGCAAATATGAATGGCCCACTTAACTCGGTGGGGGCGCCACGGTGGCTAGGAGATGTTAACTACCTCGCCTGGTATACAGGAGCTCATGGGTTCAATCCCGACCCTGACGCCTGTATATTTGGAGCTTGCATGTTCTCCTTGTGGCCGCATGGATTTTTGTCCGGGTCCTCCGGTTTTTCCCTCCATTTGCAGAATCATAAGTTTAGAGTATTTGGCTGCTATAAATTTCCACGTCAAAAGCCACTTCATTGGGCTATCATTTGTGGGCAGGTCGCTTCTGAAAAAGAGCTATCTAGCTCAGTGGGCCTTACCTGGTTAAAAATGAATTAGTACATACAAAATAGCAACTCCTTTACCAAAATAACAAATGACACCTCTGCCTGTTACATACCTGTCAACCCATATTGATTACCCGTATTATTGTACAAGGACATTGATTTTTCAGGACCATACGGCGTACAGCCGTTTCAATACAGGAAAAAAAGAGAATTGTCTATGTTTGTGTTTCTCCCTTGTGATGGGACTTTGTAGGGTGAACGTTGAGATTTATAAGGGCACGGGGTGACCAATAAGGTCTGAATCGGTCTGCAATAAGGTAGGACACCGATAAGGTGTTGACAGGCATGCTGTTACATCACATTGAGGCAGATCCATCCCCAATGTGGTCAATCTAAAGCAGCCACCCCCATCAAAGTCCAAGGCTGCAAAATCGGTGCGGCGGGCACGGCGAGCAGGCAGATGGAGGTGTCCGAACCGGAGCAGGCGAGGTCGAGGTCCTGCTTGCGCAGCAGCAGGGACGTGTCGCAAGGACGCATCGCGGCCGTGTGCAGCTGCAGCCGCAGAATCGCCTCCCGCCCACAGCTCGGTGGGGGCCCGCTCGCCGGAGCCTCCCGGTAGCATTTCACCTGCGGCACAAGCGCGGCGGCGTTTCACGTGCCATTGGTCGCGCCGGGGGGGGTCGCCCACAGCTTCCTGGAGTTCCCGGGGGGGGCAGAAGGCCCGGGGCAGGGTGCCGTGAAGGGGCCTCCTTGTTCATTAGCGACAATGACAACGACGACACGAAATCAGGCCTCTTGTGGGGCCCTATTTTGTGTGTGAGACTTGGAGGGGGGGGGGGGGGGAAAGACCGCTTTTGCGCCTCCCCCATCGCTCACAAGCAAAAACTAAAATTCACAGCAAAGGTTCAAGGTGAAGACGTCATCGCAGCCGATGTTGACTCCAACACAACTCGCGTTTGCTTTCTTTTCCCTGCAAGAGATTTTTAGATGTCCCACGAATGACACGGCACAGCTTCATGAACACGGGTCGTCTGTTTTCAGCTCGCCGACCTTCGGGCACCAATCCAAGGTCCGTCTCGGTAACCTGCCCATTCTCCACCGTGCCCATGCAGCTCCTCAAATTGCAAATCTCTTCTTCCTGATTACTTCGTCAGTGTCATCTTGCCATGTTTCGCTCTGAGCTTGCATGTTAATAGCTGGAGTCGGCCATAAATGTCTGGCATTGCTCCACGTGTGCTTAGATGTAATGGGCTGCAGCCTCATACTCACTGACCATAAAGTAAAGCAGACATTGCTCCTACCTCAAGCAGTCATATTTTAACATTGACCTCTCTTCTTACACAAAGAGGATCACGATATCCATGACAACGCCATGCTGCCAACACAACACAATGTTTGACCTTCTCACAACACACTGTGTTGGGCACAATGCGACCATTCTCACTTCCTCCTGTATATAGTTCTACATTGAGTCAATTCACAAATTAAATACGGATTCATGGACTTCCATAATAAAGGAGACGGAAGCAAAACATCGGAACGTCGTGTGGATGTCCACAGCGGTCACTCAAGATCATTGATTACCTCTACAAGATCATGGATGACCGGTGCGCTGCAGCGCTGATTGGCCTTGGTCTCTCAGCCGCCTTCGAGGCCATCGACAAAGAGATACTCATTGGGCGGCTAAGGGCAAGGATCGGTGTATCGGGTACGACACTGCGGTGGATTAAGTCATACATAATCATTTCTTTAGAACTTTATTTTTGCGTTTAGTTTGTTGTCTTTCCCCCCCTCCCCACACCTCCAATTAGCACGGTTGGCTTTGCACGGTGCGAAAGAGGTTCAACATACGTACATAGAGTGGCGAGTGGGGGGTGGCAGGGTCGTGGTGGGGGGGGGGGGGGCGTGTGGTGCGTGACAACGAGGATGAAATTGCGACAGACTCCCATACTCGCTGGGAATTGCGCGCGTGTGCAACCGTCTCCGTCGCAGACACCAATGATGAGGGTGCACAGTGTCGTGCCCATGCCGAAGGAGAGAGGCACTTAAGCAAACCGTGGACGGCGAATGGCTTAGACGCGTGAACACACCGCTCACCAGCACGTCACCCTTCAGCATCAAAGCCGGCTTCACGTTCACGCTGAGGCTCTGAGCGGTTCCGTTCGCGGGCACAGAACTGTGAGGGAGAGATTGAATTTGTGTTGAGCATGGGGCAAAGACAGGCGAAGCGTGAGGAGGTACTGTGTTTTGAAGTCTCGACTCATTATAATGCCTTGAGTTCTACACTTGGACTGGGGTTGACCTGGGCAATCATCCCTCCAGGGATGATTGCCCAGGTCAGCTGGCAATGCTTCCTTGTTGAGTCACGTAGTCACGTGGATATGTCAAAACTGGTTTAGGACCACCAGCTGAATGTAATGCTGCACAATTGCTCATCTGATCGAGTGAGAAAAGCCTCACTGAGTTTGCCGAGGCATTTTTTCAGAAGGGTCCCCTTTGGAACATTTAGCAAATATCTCAAATTTAATCTTTTTTTTTGTATAAGTTCATGCGACCAGAGAAATCCCGTGCATACGAGATGAGGATACTCAAATGCGACTGAAAAAGTCAGAGTCACATTTGCTATTCTGCCTCCCGCAGTCACCACGTTGTAATCCCACAGCTGAGCGCATCATGAAACTCATGATGCCCCATTCCTGTGTGATCCACTAACCCTCCAAAATCACTGCACTACATACATTCTCACCAGGCATGACCAATGTATGCATTTGATTATGATATCACTAGCCTTTTGCCTGTCCAAGGACGGGTGTATTGCAGTAAATCTGAAACTTGCAAGCGAACAGCAGAGCGCGACGTGATATTCATTGCATGAATGCGTGTGCAGTTTGTAAGGGCGCGGTGACACAGAGATATTTCATTTTAAGGTTATAATCCCTTGTTCATCACGACGTCCTTTTTACTTTGATGTCTCAACAGCGTTATGGGGATCACGTGACGTGAGGGTTCTGCCTTTGTAGTGAGGGTTGTGAATTGACGCCGAGGAGGGGGGAGGAGACGCCTGGCCCCCCCCATGTGGAGTGACGTCAGCCGCTAATTATTATGAATGGCGGGGGGTGTCCATTTGGAGGACGTCACCTGCTCATGATTATTAATGAGGTGGCTGTTCGATATGGAGTGACGTCAGCTGCTCATGGTTATTAATGAGGGGGGAGGGTGCTCCATGCTAAGTGATGTCACCTGCTCATGATTATTAATGAGGGGGGTCCATGTTGAGTGATGTCACCTGCTCATGATTATTAATGTGGGGGCTGTTCGATGTGGGGTGACGTCACGAGCGTTAAGGACAGACATTCCTTGGTGATTATTATAGTAGGTATGTTTAAATGTCTCATCATTTGCAGTTCACAGCTGTTTGCCTTCAGTTACGATTTGAATGTTTCAGTTACACTGGCAGTTGTCCAAAAGATTCCCACAATGCAGCTGGTTGTAGGCAGCTCCGACCAGGCCTATCACAATCCCTCCTTATCAATCCCTCCTTTTCTACTGTCATCAAAACTACACCACCACTGGCAATAATTCAATTATTAATGTCAAGCTATTATCATGTTATGTACAATGTTACAATGTCTGTAATGCGCCTTGGTAAAGGTGCTATATAAATATTGATAAGATAAGAATAATGTGAATGTTCTATAACAGTGGTGGCTATCGTCACGTTTATTATGGTGGTGGTGGTGTTGGTGGTGGGTGTGATGACGATAGTGGGTTTAGAGTTAACGATTAAGGTCACGGTGGTTGTTATAGTAGCGACGATCGTCCTGCTGCTGATGGTGGTAGAGGTAGTAGTGGTGCTGCTGCTGTTATTGACCATGATGTTCATGAAGGCGTTGGTAGTAGTGGTGCTGATGATCATGCTGCTGATGATAAGCATGCGTACTTACTACACAGAGGATGTGTACATGAGCTGTAATCCTTGGTAGACCCTTAGAAACAGTCGGCCTCCTGTAGAAATGAAACACAATGAATCACAGCAAGCACAATAGACACCCCCAGAGGATAAACTATCCTTACACCGTCCTTGTGGCACTCTACCATAGAAATGCTGACTTTTCACCCCGAGCTGAGGACAAGACACAAACACATTGAGCCATAGCGAATATCGAGGATTGTTGAGGCAAGCGCTGTTAACGAGCACCCATTAAGGGCTGCGTGGTACACAGCGGGGTGATGTGGGCCAACTCCGCCCAGCAAGCTGCCTCTGCCTGCTGAGTTACTGTTGTTTGCACACATACTCATCATACCCGCCAACCCATACGGGTTACCCGTATTCTTATACGGGGAAATGTTAGTTTTCAGGTCCATACGGCGTACAGCCGTTTCAATGTAGGATGAACGTAGACATTTATAAGGGCACGGGGGTGACCAATAAGGTCTGAATTGGGTCTGCAATAAGGGAGCCACTGATAAGGGGTTGACAGGAATGCCTACTACAAGGTGCTCATTTACGGCTGAATCAAACCAGCGATTTCTCATTAAGGTTTTGGAATGCCACTTGTCACCTTTGTTTCTACACGGATAGGACTCCCAGTTCGCTGGGCTTTGTAGCACAGTGTGCTAACCGCAGAAGCACCACCTCCCCCCTTAGCCCCCAGCAGCACGTGTGTGCACCTGTGACCCTGCACTGTGGATGGGACAAATGGCAAAATGTTGTGAAGACTTCCTTCCCATTGGGCATCTAGGCTGCAATACCCTGGCTTGCCAGCGGAAGGCAGTCCAGCGATGTGTGGACTCATAGCATCACGGAATAGAGTGTTCTCCCCTCACGTGCCTGGGTTTTCTCCAGGAGCTCCAATATCCTCGCACGTGTATAACGACTCACTATTTGGCTGAAAACATCTTTATATGTAGAGAACTGCAGAGCAATTGTTGGCGCTGGCTCATCGCCTGGCAAGCCTTCCAGCTCGTGCATGTGGCTCCGCAGCGATCGTGAGATGCAACTTGCATGAACGAGGATATATTAAATTAATCATTAAAGAGGAAAAAAATTATATGTAGATGCACACACAAAAGAAAATGGGCAGGACACATCATGAGAACAAGTGAAGAAGAAGAAGAAGATAGCGGGAGAGACGTGAGCAGCGAGTCGACATCACAGAGCGCGGAGGCCACCACTGGACAGGAGTGAATCAGGAAGGGAAGAGAACGTGAACACAGCGACTAAGATCCCCCCAAATAGCCTGTCAGCACAGGCTGTTGAGGCAAGTGCTGTGAGCAAGCACCTACTAAGGCCAGCACGGACGGCTTCACGATGGGATGGGTGGCCATCAACCACGTCCGGCTGCCTTCGTCACCCCCGGTGCTGATGTTTACAAACTGCACCGGGTACTCGTTCAAGGTTTAGTTGCCCTTGCGTAAGCCCAGGGCTGGTTCCGAAATTCATCACCGAAGGATATCCGTGAGCCGGAATCGAACTCGGGACGGCGGGTTGATAGTGCAGCGCACTAACCACCATGCTACAAGTTCTCACATGAACAGACGTGTGAACACACACACACACATCAATGCACACATGTGAACACGCACACTCACCAGAGCCTCCCCTAGGCAGGCCGTGTAGCACCACTTGATGCAGAAAAAGTGGGCAAGTGTTGAGGCTGATGGAGCGTGACAGAAGCCCACTGAAGTAGTACACATACCTGCCAAGAACAATCAGTGAGTACACACACATACACGTCACGTAGGCATACAACAACAACAACAATAACAGCCGCCAGTCGTCATTAAGTGGCAGTGATGTCGTCACAGCGCTTATGCCAAGCTAGGTGCAAGTTGATGCCGTGTGAAGCGTTGAAGGCTCGCTGACAAGAGGTTGTGGAACAAACCCAGGTGCCACTGGTTGACTGCCTGAGATGACTGACAGATGCACCGCCTGTGCACTACCGTCTGTCCGGCCAAACAGAAACTGCTTGGGCGTGCGGTGGTTGGGCATGCGGACTACGTGACCCAGCCAAGACAGCCTTGCCTGCAGGAAGAGCTCAATGATGAGACAGAGTCCAGATCTTTCCAGGACCTGTGAGCTCCTCACACAATCCAAACCCTGGTTAAACCCAGGATATTACGCAGATGCAGACACACGCAAATATACTGCACATGTAAAGATACAAATACAAGAGACAAAGATCCCCCATATAGCCTGTAACTGACTGTTGGGGCAAGTGCTGGTAGCGAGCACCAATGAAGGCCCGGCACGGCACACGAGGGGGGTGGGTGGCCAACACCACGCCCGGCCGCCTTTGTCTCCCTAGTGGCGATGTTAGCACAGCACCAAGTACTAATTTGAGGCTGAGTCAACGGAGGTGAGGCCGACGATCGGTTCAGGTAATCGTGACAGGTGTTGGCCGTGAGCGGGAATGGAACTCGGGTGGGTGGGTTCGTAGTGGTTAGTGCGCTAGCCACGACACCACCGCTTCCCACTTGCAAAGAAAGATACAACAACACAACAACAACCGCCATTCGCCACTAAGTGGCGGTGACGTCACCAAGACGCTTGTGCCAGGCTATGTGCACCCTGAGGCCACGTGAAGTGTCGAACGCCCGCTGGCAGGAGGTCACGGGGCAGACCCAGGTGCCACAGGTCGATTGACTGAGATGACTGGCTGATGCACCACCTGTGCCCCCTACTGTGCCAACCTGCTGTGCTTTAGCCACCCGGCGCTCCGCTCGCTGTTGTGAGCGTCGCTCCTCCGCCCTCCGTTGTTGTTGGAGGGCGACTGCCTCCAACTGCCCAGTAGCATCCTTCACGAGCCTCCTCCACAGAGGCCGATCTTGACACCGCTGGTACCAGTCATCGGCAAGTCCACTCCGCTCCACGTCCTCCTGTACCACATCACTCCATCTCTTCTCTAGCCCGTGCCGCGCCCGCTTAGCCCCCTCAATCCGGCCAAACAAAAGCTGTTTCGGCATGCGGTGGCTGGGCATGCGGGCTACATGACCCAGCCATCGCAGCCTTGCCTGCCGGAGGAGCTCACCGATGGGACCCTGCCCAGATCTTTCAAGGATTTGTGAGCTCCTCACACAATCCAGTCTGGTTAAACCCAGGATGGATCGTAGGCAGGTCAGCCTAAATGTTTCTAACCGGCGAAGATGTTCCATTAGGGGGGTCCACGTTTCGCAAGCGTAGAGAAGGGAGGGAATGATCGTGGCCGAGAAGACCTGAAGCTTAGTGCGGAGCGACAGACCAGGTAGCTTCCACACAGCGTTACGCAACCGATGAAAAGATATTGCCGCTCGACTGATTCGGAGTGAGACCTCTGCTGTTAAACTGGAGCCAGTCATAAGCACACTGCCCAGGTATGGGAAACTCTCCACTCTCTCCACAACTGCCCCATCACCGATTGGGAGATGTGGGGGTGGAGTGTCCGATGGTACAAAATACCCAGGCAGGTGCTTAGTTTTGGTGGGGCTGATGGTAAGGCCCCACCTCTTAGTGGCACGCTCCAGTCTCAGCAGCAGCGTCTCCAACTCCTCCTCTGACTGAGCAGCTATTACCAAGTCATCAGCATACATAACGTGGTTGAGCAATAGGGAGCCATCCCTTGACCGCACCCGGGCATCGATTAGCCTCCCATTATATCTGTACCATATGGAGATTCCCCCGGTACAGCTATTGAAGGCTTCACGAACTACGTGGTCAAAATAGATGTTAAATAATGTGGGAGCCAGAGGACATCCCTGTCGCACCCCAAGGTGTACAGGGAATGGCTCTGACTCCCGGCCACGTAGTTTTACCCAGGCCCGCTCACCATCATGAAGGTCCTTAATGATCGTGAGCAGAGGGTCAGGTACTCCAAAAGCACGAAGAACGACCCAGAGCCCAGGCCTACTGATGGTATCATAGGCCTTGACCAGGTCAATAAAGCAGAGATGTAGGTCTTGTTGGAATTCCCTACACCTCTGCTGTAGCAGACGGACAGAAAATATGGCATCTGTGCAGGACCGCCCTTTCCTGAAACCGCATTGGGGCTCCGCAAGCCTCTCCTCAGCGTGCCTGGCAAGGCGATGCTGAATAATCCTTGCCAGGACCTTTCCCGGCACACTGAGGAGTGAGATGCCCCTGTAGTTGTTACAGTCTGTGCGGTCCCCCTTCTTAAAAAGGGGGACCACCAGGGCATCCTTCCAATCCTGCGGAACCCGTCCAGTGGTCCAGACTGTTGTTATGATGTCATATAGGGCAGTCTGTGCACAAACGCCACCCTCCCTCAGCATTTCGCTTAGGAGATCATCTCTGCCCGCTGCCTTTCCTGGTCTCAGACTCCGGATCGCCTTCAATACTTCCTCAGCAGATGGCACCTCAGCCAGCCACTCACAGGGGGTGACTTCATCCAATATTTGAGGCACCGCAGCCTCAGCAGGGTCATCCTCACTTTGTGCCACGATGTTTTCCTGGCTGAGGGATTTTCCCTCCCCCAGGACCTCACAGAAATGCTCAGCAAATCTGCGAACCTGTTCCTGGGGGTCAGAAATTGGATCACCGTTTTTTCCCCTAATGATGGTAATAGGTGTGGCGCTGCAGGTTACTTTTTTGATGGAGTTAAATAGAGATTTGTGATCACGGGCCACTGAGGCAGACTCCATCTCCTCAGCAACCCGCGACCACCACCCATCCTTGCAGCGCCTCACGGCTCTCCGAACCTCCGAGCGAAGGCTGCGGTAAGCCTCCTCATTCTCTGACGTGGGATTCTGTAGCCGATGACAGTGGGCCTGTCGCTTTTTTCTCAACCATCCTGAACAACTCCTCTGTCATCCAGGGTGTCTGGGGAGGTCTCGACCGCGTACCCAAAGCAGCCATTGCAGCTGCATGAGTCACAGTCCTAAACCTCGCCCATTTACCCTCGACATCAGGAGGAGTCGGGGACGATGCCAATCCCAGCCGCAAGCGATGATGAAATTCTCGCTTGCAACTTTCATCAGATAACTGAGACCAGGCCACTTTAGGTTGGAATGGGGTCCTGGGTGTACACCCACCACCGGAGTGGAAGAATGGCAGGCGCATCTTACAGATGACTAGTCGATGGTCAGAGGGCAGATCAGCTCCACGGTAGGTCCTGGTGTCAAGAACATGAGCTCGCATTCGCTGGTCCGTCACTATGTAGTCCAGCAGATGTTCTTGCTTGGACCCGGCATGCATCCATGATGTTGTGTGGATGCGCCGATGCCGGAACAGCGTGTTGGTAATTACAAGCCCATGGGCTGCACAAAAATCTAGCAGCCTCCTACCGTTGTTATTGAGCTGATCTGGCCCATGCCCTCCAATCACTCTAGACCAGGTGCCAGTATCATGACCAACTCGGGCATTGAAGTCACCCAACATGATGACTCTATCCCGAGGGGCCACTTTAGCCAGCACCTGTGACAGGAGGTCATAGAAGGCATCTGACTCATCGGCTTTGCCTGCATCCCTCCACGGATGTTCATCTTCGGTGGGGGCATAAGTAACCACGACCACCATTCCTCGCCTCCGGTTGATGGGAAGGCGAGCCCAAAGTAGCCTGGGGCTTACAGCTTCCCACACCTCACCGCCACGCTCCCACGCCCCCTTCATTCTTTTGTTCAAAAGAAGACCCACACCCTGTTGTTTGGCAGTCTGCTGCCCCGAGTAGAGGACTGTCCACCCCTCATGGTGGCAGGAGCCAGAGCCGGTCCACCGGACCTCCTGAATGCCGCATAGATCCAGGCGGTACCGGTCCAGCTCCCGACAGAGGAGTGCCAGCCTCTCCTCTGCAGTGAGCGTTCGAACATTCCACGTGGCCACCCGTAGTGGCTTTTCGTTGTTTCTGGAGTAGCCCCGAGGGTAGGTATTCAATCTCCTGGCTCCGCCAATTGGGGTTTGGCCAGGAGACGTCATAGACGCCTGGCCCCCCGGGGCCTCCGGCACAAGCTTAGTTGTTACATATTTCAGTTTAATTCGTGGTTTTGTGGTAATTAATTGAAGGTGGAGGGGTTACCAGCCCCTCGCACCCGTCCAGAGCCTACGTTTAGCCCCTGTGGTGGACACATATGCCATGAGGGGAGGAGCCAATCAAAATTGGAACTCCCCCCACAGCGCTGTCCACGACAGAGTTGCCCGTCCGGCACCGCGAGGAGGTAGGGGGTTGTTTTGCCGGACAAAGAAAGATACACACACACGTACACACGCACACACACATGCATATATGATAACATACACGCAAACCAAATCTAACACAAATCTCCAGTAAATGTATAGGCTGTTGACACGATATTACCGAGCAACCAGGAATATGAGTGTAACGTCGTAGGAATATGATTCGGCCAGCATGACAACTGGCCACCTTTTTTCTGTCCGGCACTGATGATGACAACACTAAGCACTGATTTTATAAAGGCCGAGACGACCTCGAGGAAGGCCGAGCCAAGTTCACACATTATCTGCAACCAATGTTGTTCATGGCCAGGAATCAAATGACAGTGCGAGAGCATGCAAATCACAACACCGCCACTCTCTTTTCACAAAACAAAAACAAAGATTCCCCCATTTAACCAAACACACGCTGAGGGCAAGTGCTTTTTTTGAGAAAACACTCAGACCAGCACTGTACATGAGGAGTGCTGTAGCCAGAAGCACGCTCGGTCACATCACACTAGATACCCATTTAAGGCTGTGTCGACCTAGCGGAAGCCCAGGACTCGTTCAGATACCGCTCACCATTGAAATTAGCCGTGGCTGGGACCATTCCGCTCCCACACACACGCGTCTATTACAGTTCGTATATATATACGTTGAACTTCTTTCACACCGTACGTAGCCAACCGTGCTAATCGGAGTCGCGTGGGGGAGGACAAACACACGAAACAACCGATCCAGATTTAACACACGTCTGCAGCAATACCAGGTTCGTCATTGGCAGAAATGCTCCGTGCTACTGCAGGTCTCACCGTCTCTGCGAGGGCTGGATGGCAGCAGAAAACCGGTCACCACAGAGCGTCTTGGTGGGGAATCTGCCGAGCGAATGTTCGGAGCTGCTGAGTAAAAAAAAAACACAGGGACGAGCGTAGCTCTTGAAGTAGCTTTTGCACACTTATTCAGTAAATCGTTGGTAGTGGTGCACGGGCACAATTAACACTCAACACATTCGTCAATAGCACTGATTTACGTGCTAGCTTCTTCTTCTTCTTCTTCCGTGCGGCTGATGTAGATGCAGAGCAACGACTACAATTTTACATTCGGACGGTCAAGCCGGCAGATAACCGCGTCTGGAGCGGAGGAGTTTCTCGCTGTGATGTCTCATTCGTATTTGTGGATCGGGGCATTGCGAAGGTATATGTTGCACGATCTGTTCTGGATGACCACAGTCGCGCACTAGTGGAGAGTTTTTAATTTTCCATTTGTGCGTCAGGTGTCCGCATCTGCCATGGTTTGTGCGGATGCGATTTAGGGTGGACCTTGACCATGAGGGTGGACCATACGTGCTATGATGAAGGGCCATTGCCCAAAACGTCAATTATGATGTACTTTTTTTCTTTTAAGGCCGCAGTGTTATTGACGAATGTATTCACTTTCTATTTTAAGCTTTCGTAAAAACGAGCCTTTGTTACCGAACGTGCTACCGCTAACTCAATTCCATTGCCGGGCACCCCCAGAGAAATATCCAGCGGTGCTGAAACGAGATACAACAATAATAACGAAAGAGTCAAAGTGTTCCCATGCTCCAGCGGGAAATGGAATGATGGGCTGAGTTGACCCATATCCGGGATATGAACTCGCGACCTTCCGATTGTGAGTTGAGTGCGCTCCGACAAAGCCACCTGACTGCATAGAACAACAACAAAAGATAAAGTTTTGTTTTTAAAAAATTGAAGGTTCCGCCTTGTATTTCCTTGCTCGCTCCACTGCTGGTGGAAGTGCCGCTCCACTAGAAGGAGTTGTAGGGAGGCCTGCTCTTCCACGCTGACCAGATGTCTTGAAATAGTTGAGGGTACCCACACCTTACCCCATCCGCAATGTGTGTATGTATGTAGAGCTTCTTTTGCACCGTACGTAGCCAACGGTGCTAATCGGGGGTGCATGAGCGACCTGCTGATCGACTTATAACTAATAATTGAAAAGGAACTCGCTCCATTGTTTCAACTGCCGCGCCAGGAGAGAGGGCATCGAACCGGCGACCTCCGGGAATGTTTCTCTTGAGTCGGGTGCAACCGCAACAAACAAAATATGAACAGAGAAACATCTTAAAGCGACGACGCGCAACAGAAACGTCCTGGGATAAACCAGCAAATCTTCCAGAAAGAAAAAAAAAACACCGTATTACAACGCTATGTGCAAAAATCCCAGTGTGATGCAAGTCAAACAATACCAACCATAAGACAATTTAGATTAAAGTTATCAGGCCAACTCCGCACTTCCGCAAGAAACATGGCTTAACCGTGTGTTTTCGAAATCACCAAAATAAAGCTACACCACCGTGCTAACCGTTACGCCGCGGCAGCATCCATAACCACAGATACCATTGTTTAGCCAACCAAAAGCCACGGTGAGGCCCTCTTTGAGGCGCTTTCTCACAGCAGCCACGCGTTGGGGTGTTTCACAGACTCCTAAACGGATAGAGAATGCCAAACGGCCTCGGGAAAACACGAGCTCCTCTCTTGAAAGACACCCCGCTTTAATTAAGAGTGACGCATCGATTATCTCGTAAGATGTCCAACACGCGTGTGCTCACCGCGTGCAGACGTCACTGTAGTGGAAATAGGCGGCGATCACGGTTCCCACGCTACTTCTGTTGCCCTGCGCAGAGAGAGAGAGAGAGAGACACACACAACGAGAGACATCACAGAGCTTCCCCAAACCGCTGCCCAGTAGCAGCTGCCTGGGGTGGGCCGTGTCTCCTGGCGGTGAAGGGCACCATGGGGCACGCTGCGTTGGAGCAACCAACCAAATACCGAACCGGATGAACACTGAAATTCCCAGTCACGGATCAACTTGACCAATCATCCCTCAGATGGTAATAAAATGAGTACCGCGTCGGGCATGGCGATGACGACAGTTGCCGTCCTGTAGATAAACCAGCGTCTGCGACAGGAACGTGCCATTCCCACCGTTTGGCCCCAGATCGTGAGGAAAAATCGTAAAGTTTGGTTCGCACCAGACTTCAGTCAGTTGAGCGTTCTGAAGAAGGACCCATGAGCTGAAGTTTAAACAACAATATATATGTATCTTATATAAGGAAGTGACCGTCCTTTAAAGATGCTGTCCTAACTTCATGAGATCGTACCATTTCCACCACTGGCTCTGGACCACCAACAGACCTAAGTACCGCCCAAGGCTCGTTTCAGTATATACAGCGATGCCTTGACTTTCGTCCACTTGACTATCGTCGCTTCGCTCTTTCGGCCGTTTTCAATTATAACCACATTTCAAATTTCGTCCACGCGGCATTCCTCTTTCGTCCGATTTCTTCACAAACCTTCCACGGCGTTCGCGCCAAGCGCCCTCTTTGTCGTTCAGTCTTTGAATAGAAGTCGTTCAGTGAGCATCTCTTAAATTTGTGTTTATTCATATGTTATTAAAACTGTACTTATCACCAATATATTCATTGTCCAAATTTTGATTTAAAGCTTTCGTGACTGCAGTAATTCATATTCTTAGTTCTTTCGGTAAAGTCACGTTGAAGGGAAACAATAAATAAATAAACAATAAAACACCTGAAGTCGACACACCTGAAGACGACCGTTTGTGTTATGGTCGAAACGTCGTGAGAATTTTTATTGTTTTATATATATTTTATTATTTTACTGTTTCCCTTCAACGTGACTTTACCGAAAGAACTAAGATTATTCATCGTCCACTTACACAAGAATAAAAAAATATTTAAAGGTATTATTTTCTTTATTTAGTTTTGTTTATCTATTTAGTTGTATTCATTCTTACGTTTATTTTTCTTTTATTTCTGTTTCTTTAGGTTTCGCACGCATGTGTTATGTATTTACTGTAGTTATTTGCATGTACCTTTTTTATATATTTACTGTAGTTATTTGCATGCACGTTTTTTCACCGGCCAAAATTAATTTGCAAGCTAAATAAAAAGCTCTGCTTTGACATTCGTCCATTTTTGACATTCGTCCATGCTCTGGTCCCTAACCAGACGAAAGTGCAAGGTATTCCTGTAGATGTTTTCAAAAGTGTCTCAACCCCAGCCCACATTTTTTTTGCCGCATCGAAAACTTCATCCGAATAACCCAACAGTATATTCTTAGTTTTTTCGGTAAAGTCACGTTGAAGGGAAACAGCAAAATAATAAAATATATATAAAACAATAAAAAAAAATTCTCACGACGTTTCGACCATAACTCAAACGGTCGTCTACTACACACCTGAAGACGACCGTTTGAGTTATGGTCGAAAAGTCGTGAGAATTTTTTATTGTTTTATATATATTTTATTATTTTGTTGTTTCCCTTCAACGTGACTTTACCGAAAAAACTAAGAATATGAATTACTGCAGTCACGAAAGCTTTAAATCAAAATTTAACCCAACAGTGTTAAGATGAGCAGTCTTCTGTCACTACACTGCTGCATCAAGGCCTTCCTTTACTGCTTTAGACACACGAGTTGTTTGACCATACTATCACCAGGCTGGCCAATGCAGGTCGGTAAAATGCATGATGCCACTCGCCACTGATGTTAGCCATGGCGGGAGACTGAATCTCTGCTCGCCAAATTTATAGCACGGTGAGCGAACCACGGCACCGCCCACCGCTCCTGAATGACAACTATCCTGCAGTCAAATGTGAACTTGGCATAAATTCAAGCAATGTATTAACTCTTGCCTATTACAAAAAGTAATCGTGCTGTTTGTTGCTGGCTGTTTGGTATCTTTGGAGCTGGGGGCTTGTGTTCAGTAACCGTGTAAAAAAAAACAACGACAAAGCATTAAAAGAACAACATTTGAAAAGCCAAATTGTGCTGAAGACTACTCTTATTCTATTTCTCACCAAGCGGAACAGCATGCCCAGGTGGTGCTCTGCTTACTGAGCCCAGAGGTCAAGTGAACCCCATTGGGATGTGACCCACTGACCTGGTAATGCATAACAAGTCACTCCCTAGTCAGGATGTGACCCACTGACCTGGCAATGCAGAACAAGTCACCGCCCTAGTCAAGACGTGACCCACTCACCTAGAAATGCAGAACAAGTCACTCCCTAGTCAGGATGTGACCTACTCACCTGGCAATGCAGAACAAGTCACTCCCTAGTCAGGATGTGACCTACTGACCTGGCTATGCAGAACAAGTCACCCCCCTAGTCAGGACGTGACCCACTCACCTGGCAATGCATAACAAGTCACCCCCTAGTCAGGACGTGACCCACTCACCTGGCAATGCATAACAAGTCACTCCCTAGTCAGGATGTGACCCACTGACCTGGCAATGCATAACAAGTCACCCCCTAGTCAGGATGTGACCCACTCACCTGGCAATGCATAACAAGTCACTCCCTAGTCAGGATGTGACCCACTCACCTGGCAATGCATAACAAGTCACTCCCTAGTCAGGATGTGACCCATTCACCTGGCAATGCATAACAAGTCACCCCCTAGTCAGGATGTGACCTACTGACCTGGCAATGCATAACAAGTCACCCCCTAGTCAGGACGTGACCCACTCACCTGGCAATGCATAACAAGTCACTCCCTAGTCAGGATGTGACCCACTCACCTGGCAATGCATAACAAGTCACTCCCTAGTCAGGATGTGACCCACTGACCTGGCAATGCATAACAAGTCACTCCCTAGTCAGGATGTGACCCATTCACCTGGCAATGCATAACAAGTCACCCCCTAGTCAGGATGTGACCTACTGACCTGGCAATGCATAACAAGTCACTCCCTAGTCAGGATGTGACCCACTCACCTGGCAATGCGTAACAAGTCACTCCCTAGTCAGGACGTGACCCACTCACCTGGCAATGCATAACAAGTCACCCCCTAGTCAGGATGTGACCCACTGACCTGGCAATGCATAACAAGTCACTCCCTAGTCAGGATGTGACCCACTCACCTGGCAATGCATAACAAGTCACTCCCTAGTCAGGATGTGACCCACTCACCTGGCAATGCATAACAAGTCACTCCCTAGTCAGGATGTGACCCATTCACCTGGCAATGCATAACAAGTCACCCCCTAGTCAGGATGTGACCTACTGACCTGGCAATGCATAACAAGTCACTCCCTAGTCAGGATGTGACCCACTCACCTGGCAATGCGTAACAAGTCACTCCCTAGTCAGGACGTGACCCACTCACCTGGCAATGCATAACAAGTCACCCCCTAGTCAGGATGTGACCCACTGACCTGGCAATGCATAACAAGTCACTCCCTAGTCAGGATGTGACCCACTCACCTGGCAATGCATAACAAGTCACTCCCTAGTCAGGATGTGACCCACTCACCTGGCAATGCATAACAAGTCACTCTCCTAGTCAGGACGTGACCCACTGACCTGGCAATGCATAACAAGTCACCCCCTAGTCAGGATGTGACCTACTGACCTGGCAATGCATAACAAGTCACCCCCTAGTCAGGACGTGACCCACTGACCTGGCAATGCATAACAAGTCACCCCCTAGTCAGGATGTGACCTACTGACCTGGTAATGCATAACAAGTCACCCCCTAGTCAGGATGTGACCCACTGACCTGGCAATGCATAACAAGTCACTCCCTAGTCAGGATGTGACCCACTGACCTGGTAATGCATAACAAGTCACTCCCTAGTCAGGATGTGACCCACTGACCTGGCAGTGCAGCACCACGACGTGGCTTGGGTGAGCGGCGAGCCAGGACTCCATGGCCTTGCAGACGCGGCAAAGGGTGTCCAGCTGGGGAGCGTGCAAGCCAGGCCAGCAGAACTCCAGCACCTGCACGCAAGGACGTATCGTCAGTGTCGTGTTAAATAAGTAATATTTTAAAAAACGTTTTTAAAAACACGCTTTAATGAAATGTACCGTACTAGTAATTGAAGAACTCTGCGATTCCAGGAAGTGGCCCCGAAACTTGCCACAACGAGGTGAGATCTTGCATGGAGCTTCAGGCCGACGGAGATTGACAGTTATTTTGTGTTTCTTCCATTTGCGAATAATCGCACCAACTGTTGTCACCTTCTCACCAAGCTGTTTGGCAATGGTCTTGTAGCCCATTCCAGCCTTGTGTAGGTCTACAATCTTGTCCCTGACATCCTTGGAGAGCTCTTTGGTCTTGGCCATGGTGGAGAGTTTGGAAGCTGATTGATTGATTGCTTCTGTGGACAGGTGTCTTTTATACAGGTAACAAGCTGAGATTAGGAGCACTCCCTTTACGAGTGTGCTCCTAATCTCAGCTCGTTACCTCTATAAAAGACACCTGGGAGCCAGAAATCTTTTTGATTGAGAGGGGGTCAAATACTTATTTCCCTCATTAAAATGCAAATAAATTTATTAAAAAATTTACATGCGTTTTTTCTGGATTTTGTTGTTGCTATTCTGTCTCTCACTGTTCAAATAAACCTTCCCTTAAAATTATAGACTGATAATTTCTTTATCAGTGGGCAAACGTACAAATCAGCACGGGATCAAATACTTTTTTCCCTCACTGTATACCAAGTTTGCTGTCGATACGACATTGGGAAGTGGGTAAAAATTGAGTTACAAGATTTGAGGGTACAACAGACAGAGTGAGTTAATAAAAAGCGTGTAATAAAATATCTGTAAGTGAGCTTGAGGAGAATACGTCATGGCTAGAAGTGACAATGGCCAATGGTCAAGAATAATATAGCAGGTTGGCAGCCAAGAAATGGAACGCATCTGAGAGAGAGCACGTCCACTGTCGAGATGGAGTGATGAAATCAGCCCATTTGAACGTGTCTGTGAAATTTTGCATTGCGCGACTGTGAGAGGTGGTGGCAGGCTGGGGAGGCCTTTTTTCAGCAGTAGATTGACCATGGCTGAAAATGATGATTACGTTGAAGAATGGCTCATTCCTGTGACAATTTATTTGCCACTTACACCCGCAAACTCTCCGGATTGCGGAGTGTTAGTCAAAAAAAGGACATCACAGCCAGAACTGTTGTTACCATAACACCTTGCCATCGCTTTCTCTCCTCTAATACATTCATTTCCATAGTCCACTCGTAAAATATCGCCACCACAGATTTAAGCTAGAAATGTTGGACCCGAGCGGCCCATTCACTCAGCGGTCGTGCTAGGCATGAAGCAACCTAAGAGAAAGGGTAAGGCCCCAAGCAGCTTAAGGGGCCGCATATTCACGGAAAAATTAGGGATCTCCCAAATATCAGCCTGAATTCACATCGTCATGAACACACAATGCAAAAAGATAATTCAATGCTCTCATCTCCGCCTTGCTTGAAGCTTTCTTCTCTCATCAGACGATATCGCTGTCTCTTGTATATGTCTCTCGAATCACTAAAGCTGTCTCTCATCACAACCCCAGTCTTTATACCAAATGTCTCTCAGCTCGCTAGATCTCCATCCCGTGTCTATATCTCTTCGGACACATCGCCTGGGGTTTATAAATCCAAAGGGATGATTGGGGGGGAAACACCCAAAAATAATTCCGACTGAGGGCTCTCAATGGGCCTGTAGCACTGCCACTGTATTTCCTACAGCTCATAATAAGATAAATATAATAACAATATCACAAGGTTATCTCAACAATACCTGAGGGTGAAGCTTGGTGAGCTCTTCCTTTGGTCCAGAAAAGTTAATAACCTAGGAATAAAAAGACGCACACGCTCTGTTGTCAATAATGCAGTTGGTTAAGAGAATCTGATAACAATAATAAGTAAGGCTGAAACACTTCACATCATTATACTGCTATACAGACTACGGATAAATACATGAGGACATGTACAATGAGTTCACACATTTTTTCAAAGTTCACGGAACCCTGAGTTTGTCAGGGGGAGGGGATGGGAGGGGGGGCATGCATAACAGTCAACGTTCAACAAACGTTAAACAAAGGTTGAACACGAAGCAGAATGAGTAAGCATATGATCCCACCTTTGCCTACCATCCAATCAGCTCTGGCTCTCAGCCCCTGTGTATGTGAGGATAGTGCCCCTCTCAGAGACAGCCTCCTTTGTGGCTGTGTCTCACCGGCGCTAGACCGAAGAACGCCAAAAGGTGAACAGCGAAAGGATGATGCAAACGCCACATTATGGATGGCTCGGCTCAAGCTGTTTTAAGGCCGCTGCCTCTTGTGTAGCTCCGACCATTGTCAAGCGCAATGTATACATCGCCAGAGCGTATTTGTTTGCATGTTCTACCACAAGTACGTGTCGCTATGACGATGCCTTGCAGTCGGTCTCTATTTGGTGTTTGAACATCTTATTTGTGCCATTAAAAAAGGGAAATGCATAATGTCATCATTTTTATCATCTTCGAACTGGCAAAAAGAGGGTCCCGTAGATAGTGCTCATCGCTTAATCACACAAACATGTGCACTTTGTTGAGCCCTGTCCAACTATTACACAGAGCTCACGTATCAAATGAAGCTGATTAGCCCCCCCCCCCCCGAAACGACTAGCCCCTTTACCTATTTCTCTATGCAGCCTCACCGTGCATGACAAATAGTCTTTCAGAATGAATTTAAACTTGGCCGATGTTGATGTTGTTGTTGTTGCTGCTGCTGTTGTTGCTTCTCCTCACCAGGTAGTTCCCCCCGTGCTTGGAGGCGAGGTGGTGAGCCATCTCTTGCAGGCCCCGCTGGGACGCACCCTCCGACGCCTCGGCCGGCACGCACGTGGCGACGATGCGGTCGGCCACGTACGTGAGGTCCAACCCGTGGCCCGGCGAGGCCTCCAGCCCACGCGCGCCCCCTCTGCATGACACAGCAAGCAGCGGCAGGGGCAGCGCCACCGTCGGCATTGGCATCAGCAAACGGCGTTGGCTTGCAAATGATCAAGCCACTGGGGCTTATGCACTTTGAAATCAGCTATGCAGCAGCAGCTGCGGCAGCATCGGCATTGGCATCAGCAACGGTGGCGAGAGGAGCGCCAGGTTGGCGAGAGGTTAACTACCTCGCCTGGGATGGAGGGGGTCGTGGGTTTGATCCTGATCCTGACGCCTGCTGTATATTTGGAGTTTGCATGTTCTCCCCATGGTCGCTCAGATTATTATCCAGGCCCTCTTGTAAACGTGAAGGGGAAAACCCTTCACGTTTATAAACATGCGTTTAGAGTATGTGGCTGCTATAAATTTCCACATGATGGGACATTTCGTTGAGCTGTCATTTGTGCTCAGGTCGCCTCTGAAGAAGAGCTACGCAGCTCGGTGGGCCTTACCTGGTGAAATAAAAAAGTTTTTTTTGGTTAAATGCCATTGGCATGCGAATCATCATTATTTTATGCGTGTGCCCGCTTATTTTTCTTAAACAGCCAAAGCGATGCCGATGACTTGCATACGTTCTCTGATATACATATATATTTGGTGATGCTGCTGCATTGGCAGTTTGGTGCTCGAGCACAATTAATGATAACCAAAAAAAAACTCAGCACACTTGTCAGTGACACGGCGACCTTAAAAGGAAAGCGATATAATATGCACTACATTTTGGCCCTTCTTTGTCGCACATAAATGGTGCTATGAAGGGACATTTTTTTTATTTCAAGGCCACGGTGTTATTGAGCGTTTTCTCTGATATATATACAGTATATGTCTTTCTCCTTCTGCCATGTTACTAGAAGAGATGATGGCCGGTGGCGGAGGCTGACAATGGAGTGACGGCCAATGGAGAAAACGAGCCCAAGAGGGCATCCTGTGGAGAAAATGGAGCGATGCAAACAGCTTGTGTACAGGTGCCAGGTGTAGTGTTAGAAGGCGGGACCACACGAGGTGACAGAGGCTTGGAAAAGCCTAGAAGCCAGCAGTGGATTGATCATGACTGATAATAACGATGCTCACTTGGAGGAAAAATAAGAGTTAGCAACGATGAAATCCCAAGTTCAACCCATAGGCTCCTGTTAAAATTTGTTTCCATGCAAATGAGATTATATTTGACTACGTAGAGCAGTGGTTCTTAACCTTGTTGGAGGTACCGAACCCCACCAGTTTCATATGCGCATTCACCGAACCCCTCTTTAGTGAAAAATAAAATGTGATTTTTTTCAAATTCAAGACATAGATATGTTTTTTACTGGTACACAAAATGAGCCGTGCATGAACATTACCTTGTTCAAAGAATAAAACCAACACAATGCATAAACTCACAACAAATTACATACCTGGAAATCAATGTGACTTCTGCTGTTGCCTTTGAGAGATCAGTTCAGATATGCGTGGCTTCACCTTGGCAAGTGCCACTCTCATGTCATTTTCACAGCAAAGTCTGTTCCTTTTCTTTGTTTTTATGTCCAGCATCCTCGAAAAGGATTGCTCACAAAGATATGTTGTAACAAATGGTATAAAAAAATCCAGGGCTTTCTTAGCAATAACTGGATACTTGTTCATTTGTCGACACCAAAACGTTGAGAGCGTTGTTGTTCTGAAGAGTTGCTGTTGAACCTGGCTCTGCTGAATTTCAATGATTTCGTCGAGGAATTCATCATTGACATCTGCTGTTTCAACAGCAAACGTGAACGGCTGTCTCACCCATGCTGGATATGACTCTCTTGTAGGGAAATATCCGTCGAGAGACTTTGCAAGCTCATCTAAGTGCGTGGCAATTGTTTGCTTCAGTTCCGTGGATACAGAAATATCTCCGATTCCAGACACATCTTCGATCTTACTTGCACAGTCGTCCAGAAGCGGGAAGTTTGCGAAGTTATTGTTCTCTGTTCGTCGTTTCCATAACGGTAGCTTTTTTTGAAAAGCCTTCAGGTGTTCTTCCGCTTCCATGATATTGACTCCACCACCCTGCATCTGCTGATTGAGATGATTGAGAGCTGCGAATATATCAGCCATGTACGCTAAAATGAGAATGAACTCAGGATTTTTGAAGCAATCTGCATGGCAGTGTTGGTGCTCTTGCAAAAACAGGGCTAATTCCACACGCATGGCAAAAACACGATTCAGCACCTGTCCCCGGGATAACCACCGAATATTAGAATGGAGCAGAAGTACCTCAAATTCAGAGCCCATTTCTTTACACAGCTCACTGAAGATGCGGTGCCTCAGAGCACTTTTTCGCACATAGTTCACACATTCCACCACAGTTTTTAATACTTCTGCCATTTTTGGAGGTAAGGTTTTTGTTGCCAACGCATGCCTGTGCAGAATACAATGCGTCACAATGATGTGTGGTGCATCGGCCTTTACTAGCGCACCAAAACCAGACTTTCTTCCCAGCATGACTGGAGCTCCGTCTGTACAAACTGCAGAAACCATATCCCATGAAAGATTGTTGTCTCTGAAGAAGTCATCCACAAGCTTCTTCACATCGGCTGCCTTCGTTGTTGTTGTAAGAGGCTTACAAAATAAAAACTCTTCTTTTATCATGTCGTCTTTCACATAGCGTACAAAAACAGCAAGCTGGCTTAGATCAGAAACGTCTGTGGTTTCGTCGAGTTGAAGGCTGAATTTTGCCGGGCTTGAAATCAGATCCGCGACTACTTGAGCCAAGATGTCTTTACTCATGTCTTCTATTCTGTCACTGACGGTGTCATTTGAAAGGGGAATTTGGGATAATTTACCTTCGGCCGCTGTTCTGAGTATCAGATTCGCCATCTTTAATGCAGCTGGTTTCACAAGTGTTTCACCAATGGTGTGTGGCTTGCCCTGCTTTGCGATCAGGTAAGCAACTTCGTACGATGCTGTCAGGATCGGTTTGTTAACAGGTACAAATCCAAGAGCAGGCAGAGTGGCCCTTTCATCGAATCTGGCTCTCTTCACCCTGAATTCAGCAAGTGTTGTGTTCTTGTATTCCCCGTCTCCATGCAGCTTCAAGAAGTGTTCCTTTAGTTTTGCCGGTGCAAGACTAGAGTTGCTCAACTTGGCGTTGCAAATCATGCAGATAGGACGCTCACTCCCATCACGTTCCGTGATACATGAGAATCCATGTTGTACATATTCGTCCGACCACTTTCTTCTTTTGCCCGACATAGTTAGTATGGATAAAATATTAAAGAAATCACACGACGTACGACAACAACAGTCACACGTTGACTACTGAGTACGCACTAAATTCCCCGCAGCGCTGATTGGCCAAGCAGTGTAGCATGATCATCTGCAGCCAGTGATGGCCAAGCGGGCCGTGTGTGTTATCACAAATTTACACAATAATTCAAGTGTGTCCGGACCTCCGTGGCGGGGGCTCTGCCGAACCCCTGAGATCGACTCACCGAACCCCTGGGGTTCGATCGAACCCAGGTTAAGAACCACTGACGTAGAGGTTTGCTCATAGTGTTTGATATTCGGAATCCAAAAATTGCAATTTCAAATCCACAGAAGCCACTAAAGTCAGGAGCATTTTGTGAAAATCAGTAGTAACTGACCTGCAGTTCAAGGGCGATTTTATTTTCACCCAGCCAGGTGGTGTTGTGACAAGAGGGACAGATTAATGAGCGGCAGGTCATGAGTTAGAACCCAGGTTTGAGGTCGCTTAGCCCCGTTATAATCTTACATCTGGGATGCCTAAAATTAGTACGACTCTGTGGAGATTAAACAACAACAAACCTAAGGATATACTGATCCCCTGCCATAGGATTCACGTGACATTTCTACCACTGCTTAGACCTGCCCAGCCGATGGCTCCCATCCTGTTGGTAATTTCCACAAAGTGGTACTCATTGTATTCAACCTCCGAGAGGTAATCAGTTGAGTCAATCCCCAACTGGGATTTGAACTCTTAACTGTGAGTGAACTGTTATAACCACATGCATCTCAGTCATCTGAATGTAATCGTCAGAGGAAAAAAAACACTCACTCCACTTTGCTGTCCAGCTCATAAGAGGTGCTGCTGGCCACTGACACCTGTGAAAATAAAAATTGCAACAGTGTGTTGATTCATACTCTTTGGTTTTATTCGGTAAAGTGTGTTGATTTCAGAACAATGTATGGTCTTCATTTTTAAGCAAATGGCTCGATAAATATTTATTTATTTTTTTACTTACATCCGTATTCTACGGGAAAGCCTTCCAAGGGTACCGATTGGGTTTCAGGACTCTCTTTTTCACAAGGATGCCTGGGAACGTTTGCCCAGTTATTCTTAATGAGTGTTTTGCACGTGGGGGGGAAACCAGATTAGACGGATTAATCAACTAAAAAGTATCCTATGTTGTTTTATGTTTCATTAGACCTCCTTTGCCAGTAACAAAATATGATAATAGGGTTTTCCCCTTTTTTTCTGGCAACAAAACTGAAACCTTTTTACAAGGATTATTGTCTGCATTAACCACAATACCTGCAGTCAAAATGCAAACAAAAAACATACTATGATAATATATGCATTGTCCTTGAAACTGATTGGTCCACACCAAGGGACGGCTTTCTCTTGAGCCTCGACCCAATTGGTGCTCGACCTGACTGCAGGTATTGTGGTTAATGCAGTAACATGAATCCTTGTAAAAAGGTTTCAGTTTTGTTGACCGAAAAAAGGGTAAAAACCCCTATTATTGTTTTAAGTTGTTTAATTAACTGGGGCCCCTTTAAAAAGAAAGGCCGCTGCCACCACCATGCCTACCGGAAGGCAGGAAACCCCCTACACGCTACGCCCAGAGTGATATGGCTGATGATTTTGACAACATCACCAAGCCCTGCCCATCACCTCCCGTCCAGCGACTGAGAGACAGGAGACTGTTTCTGTGATATCCAATTGGCCGAGTAGTCAAACCAATAATCGGCAGGGTAATCTATGATTTGGCTAATCGGAAAGAGACTTTCTCTGCTGTCATCACTCTGGGGTCAATAACACGAGCACCACATTGTGGGATGTCAACAGTGGCCATGATATAGAGATTGACCCTCGTCATGGTAATGTGAAATTTACACCATTGGCTCAGGTGCAGTCTTTTACGGAGCATGGAAGAGCACTATCTAGTGTTGGGTGACGAAGACGAATGACTGCCTTTACTTAAAAAACGACAACATTATATGAATCCTGATACTGTATGGGTGCATTTAGATGCCCATAAAAATCCAAAATGTATCAGTGGCGTCGTATACCAAGAACATTTCCCTGCAGTGATTTGATGATCCAGTGAATGCGACCGTTCAGGTAGGACGTTCCCTGTACCTCATGAAATGAACCCTTTGGCCAATCGACTGCTGGATGAGGGCCTCCCCCATGCCGTACTGGTCGTAGGGGTTGATTTGACCATACTTGACCAAGCTGACCGTTGCTGGTCGCTGAAGGCGAGGAACATAGACGAAATGGAAGCATAGTGCAGTACAACAGTGGAATGTAATAGCCTGCTCGAGGAACGTCTTGCCGTTTACTCACAGCGCTGTTTGGTCGATTCGCGGCTGCCTTCGGGCTCTCCGGCTGCAAATGAACAGACGCAGAAAACATAGTCAACGCTACAAACCAATCGCTCGACATCTCACAAGGAAGCCGGCTTCAGGGGGTTTCTGCCGCATGCGCCCGGTAACTCTCCGGCGCGTTTTCGGGTCGTGTCGTGCGGTTTGCTCGGCACGATGCATTCCCCCATGCCAGCGGACAAACCCGCGACTCAGCCCGAACGCGCAACAGACGGAGAGCTGTGTGCAACCTTGACCCAGAACATGATGCACATCCACGTGTCTCCCTGCGCAAACAAGCGATGGGAAGGCGGAGTGAACTCTGTTGGCAGCCCAGTGTCTAAATGGTGGAAATTCCACATTCCCATGGCAATGGGCAAGTATCGTTGGATGATGACAAAGTGGTACATATTTAATCAACTCATCGACCGAGTCAACTTCTCTTGGAAATAAATCGTAAACTTCCGATTCCAGTATGCCACAAATTCGACTCACCAGGCAATTAGGCAGAGGCAGTGATGTGAAAAGTTCGGATATGTGAACATCTGTGGAAAGTGGCAGTTACACCGTGGACACATACTGCAGAGGGTGTGGCCGGTTAATTGGTCAGGGTGGAAATGTGAACGTCAAATATCCGATTAGCACGGTTGGATACATATGGTGTGAAAGAAGTTCAACATTTTACATTTTCAGTATTTTTTTTTAGTGTAGAAGGGACATTTAAGTATCTAGATAAAAGCCAAACCAAAGTGTGTGATGGGGTAACACTCAATCCCTTCCAGATGAGATCCACGTTTTCCATACCGCCATTTCTTGACGAGTCAAAGCATGGCACCTCAATGACCACGGGACAGGGGGTTTCACAACATTTGAGCAGTGACCCACCAACCCTCACTGCCTCCACAGCGTTGGATTACAGGCCACGTGTCAAGCCGTCACTTCCCGTCTCAGACACACGCGGGTATAATGCTTTAAAGCCACGTGAGTAAAAAGTTAAACATTTACGTGATATTCTGCCTTCAACAAGGACACTTCTAAGCACCAATAATCTTCTGCCTCCAGACTCAACATCTCACATTGCATACAGACACACTACTGTACCATTGGTTGCACCCTTGAGAGAAAAAAAAGTTGATTTGTGTCCAGCTCTCATTGAACAACAGTAATAATAATAGCGCCTGGCACTTGAGGCAACTGCAGTGCTGATATAGAGCGCTTACATTCATTTTCAATGGCATTAGTCACTTGATGTAAGAGAATGGTGCTCTTTATTAAGGGAGCACTACATATGGCGAGTTGCCAAATAAAAGTGTCAATAATTTTCTCTCAGTCCACATTCTCACACACACACACTCTATTCCTGCGTATCCTTTGTCTTCTCAATCACGCACGTGGTACAAGTCTGATCCATCACAAATTCTCAACTCGGGATGCAGAGTTCACATTCATATGGTAGGGGCCAGTTTGTCTCGAAGATGTCCTTCCCAATAAGTGGGTTGATCCAGCACTCATTCATTCACTGCAGTTATTCGCTCAACAGCAGTCAATCGCCTCCTTATCACTCTTCTATATCGCTCCTACCATGGTTACCGTTCTTGTGAACTTCACCCTTTGATTCTTTCACTCGTGTTGAGGACTCGGTACTACCAGACCGACTGTTGTCGTCTCATCCACACTGCTTTCAACCACCACCACACGGCAGGTCAGAACAGAACATTCGCTCACCAACTCACCCACTCACTCTCACCCATTCACTCGCTCTCACATCAACCCACTCACACATTCACTCACTCTCACCCACTCACTGACCACACTACAGGACAAAACACTTGTATTTGTGCTTCTTCCCTCACCCTGCTGGACTTGGAAATCCTCTCCCATATTCTCTTTTTCCAAGTTCTAAATATACAAAAATATTTCAAACAACAATGGGGCTCTGCTCAGTTAACTGCGAACTCTACGCCACTGGCAAAACGTTCCTCATTCCCATGGTGTGCGCAGTCTGTTCATAGAAAACAAAAATACATTGTTCTTGTTTACCACAAAGTTGTACTCGCTTTATCGATCCTGGAGGGATGATAGGCTAACACCAAGACTAACACCAAGCATTATTCTTACTCACAATCTTCTGCTTGTGAGTTGAATATTTAAATCACATCCACGACCTGGCTGGATTAAGCAAAAAAAAAACAGTGAGAGTCTTCAATATCGCACCACCTAAAAATCACGTAAAGGGAAATAGTATTATTATTATTTGTATATATACAGCGAATTTTACCAGCAATGATATCCGTAGCATATATAAACGTAAAACAGCTGGCAGGAGCCTAGAGGCCAAAGGTCATGCTAACAAACTGCGTAATAAAACTGGCAGCAAGGGGCCTCCCCAGGAGGCTTAGAGGGTTCCAGGATCATTTCACGAGGAGGGTCCATGACAGGCACCGTTACAGAAGTCGGGTGCCCTGACTCACGTTTAAGAACGGACCAACGTGCTCCTAGCAAACGCCTTTGAGGGTCAGAGGTGTTTGGCTATGCCTTCACATGTTTGGGTAAGGTCTGCGAGCCTTAAACACACACGGCGAGCAGAACACATCGGAGGGAATGACTTAAAGGTGGTAAAAGTCGTCCGTTACTGCTTGTTGCGCTGTGCAACTGGTTTAATCATCACCATTAAACCATGGTCAATCTACTGCTGGACAGAGGCGTTCCCAAGCCACCGCCACCTCGCACGATCCTGCGATGTTAATTATAATCGACCCAGCACTTGCACAAAAATGGACGTCGTTGCCCCATCTCGTGGATGGACGTCGTCTCGGACGTATTCCGTTCGCTGGCTGTTTTTGGTTTTATTTTAACCAATTATGAAGAAGCCAGTCAGGTGGCTCCATGACGATAGCGTCCAACTCACAATAGGAAGAATGTGAGTTCAATTCCTGGTCAGGTGTCGATTGACTTTAACGACATTCCTCCGAGGTGAACGTCCTTCAAAAGGAATATGGAATTTCCACTTCCGATCCAAGTCCACCAACAAAGATGTGCGCTGCTCCAATTCTCATCCGATACACTGTGAGTGTCTTGTTTTGTGATCATTGCTAATAAATAATGCTTCCAAAGCCCAGCAACGATAAACCTGAGGTAGTGATCACAGATACAAAATTTTTATTATTATAATTTTATTGATTCAAATATTCAAAATATTATTATTTTCAGAAATTGTGAAATCATGGCCAGCTTTAAAACTGAAATAGGTACATGCTTGCGTCCAATGTTTATCGAAGTGTCTTCCGGATTTCTCACATTTTTGGCAACGAGTGAAAGAATGCGGAACTGGGGTGCACGGTTGATCTGTTGATATTGCTGGGGAAGGTCATGGGAATTAAAACTCCTTCACCGCCCCTGCTCCCTCAACCCAACCACCTACAAACCCACCCAGCAACTGCCCCACCACCACCAACGACCAACTACTGCTCCCTGGCGCAGCAGTAAAACCGTTCAAATTAAAACTGCCTTGGTTACAGATTGCAGGTTATGTCCTCTGGCTGCAGTGTGGTGCATACGTTTTAAAACATTTCTGAGTTTTGTTTGTTTTGTCTCCCCCCCACCCCCTCTCCGCCCCACCGCCGCCCACCAAAGTCGTTAGGATCCTCCGGAGCTTCTGGGATTTCCTGTGTTCCATGGGAAAGTCGCCGCCGAATGCGATTCACCGTGGCAGCGGAGGAAGTGCGAAATTGTAAATTGGCTAAACGTGGAAATGAAAATCCCTCATGGAATTTGCAATGAAAATTGGCCAAACAAAATTTCAGATAAGGAATAAAGAATGTCCATTCCAGTTGAAGATCACAATGCATTCCACAACAGTTTAAGCCATTTTAATACCCATAAATATCCCAATTAAAAGTTACAATTCCCAAGGGGGAAACAAGAGATAACATGACGTCTGTAAGGCTGTCAAAATGTTTAAGGCACAAAGATAGGATGTTTAAGTTTGGAAAGCGCAGGAGCGAATGTCTCACCAACGGGCGTCTGCGAAGAGGCACCGTTGCTTTCTGAGTCACGTTATAACTTTGGCCACAAACCTCAGAAGCACCTATCTCCAGATGCATTGTGGGATTTAGATCTGGGCACTCCGATTATTGAAATGATCGATTACTCGACAGAGTATTGGTTCGATTTACTCGAACAATCGGATAACACAAGAATAGTTTGAAGGAAAAAAGAGGTATCGCCTCTGTTCCAATGTGCGACGCTGGACGGGAGGTCACAGGCAGGGGCTGTTGACATCATCGGCGTCATCAGACACGTCACGTTAGACGTGGCTTTAAGGGGCGTCCGCCAATTTTAAGGGCTCCAAGTAATCGACCTCAATAAAGTCGCTGAGTATAAGTGTGAGTCAATTAATTATAAGTGTGAGTCAATTAATTGACTTAATTTACGAATTGCCCCAGTTCTAGTGGAACTTCTCCGAATGCACAATAAATAACCCTAGCAAAAAGCATTGAGTTAAGACCGTTACAGTGCCTTCAAATTCAATGTTGTGAATTACCCAAACGTAACTTTTTTTGTTCACCCGGTAATTAAATGAATTATCTTTCTTCTTGTCCATTAACAATAAGCAGCCCAGCCGCTTCAAGGTAGGGTTGGTGGATCACACATAGATAGAGCCGGGGCTACGTTTCTCACCCGATATTTTCCAGAACGCTGCTAGGCCGGCCTAGAGTAGGGTTTCTCGCTATAAGGCACTATCACCTGAGTACAAGGTACAACTATCCATAATAATAATAATCCATTATCATTGTGTGTCGTACATTTAAGTAGTGTCCATGAGAACTTCTGGTAACCATAAGCACTACTGACGCGCATTCTTTTGTTTTTTTTACCCACAACCGCAGACACAATCTAAGGATCATGACGACAAAATAAGGCAGGGTTGAAGCAGTGTGCAATTTTTTTTTCCATAACAGCGTTTCGGACTGTCCTTGGTAATGAGTTTATGACAGAAAACATCATTCCAGGCATAATGTGTCC